TCCCCCATATTCACCCGACATTGCACCTTCTGATTATCATTTGTTTCGATCGCTGCAGAACAATTTGAATGGAAAAAAATTTAAAAATGTGGAAGACGTCAAAAACCACCTTGACACCTTTTTCAACGAGAAACCGCGCGATTTCTATGAATCAGGCATCCGTAAATTGATTGAACGTTGGGAGTGGATTGCCGAACATGATGGCGAATACATAATTGATTAATAAAAGCACTTTCTTCAAAAAATTTCAATTTTAATTTGCACTTGAAATCGGGCACGAACTTATGCACTCATCATGTGCAAGAAAAGCAAACAAATTCATTTTCTGCATTTTGGATTTTGGTCGGACAAAGTCTCGAACCCTGGTTATCCGAATGTACACAATGCTATTCGCTCGGATTTCACTCATTTACTAATCCATCCACACTTGTGACCTAAGAAATCTATAAACCAATTTTAATAAAAACAAAAATATTTCAATCCGTACTTAAGTTATCGTGTAGCGGTCAGACAGACATGGCTAAATTGAGTCGTACCATTATTCCAGGAAGTTTGATATGTACACATGCTAATGCCCATGTCTATCGATCGATTATTTTATTTTGTGTTGATGTTGTCACAAAGCACAGATCTAACTGCTGATCCGTTGTGGTAGCTCCTAGTGGGTTTGTGACGACTTTTCCGTGTTCCCATATAAACGATGAGCAGCTGCACTAAGCCAAAGGGGAAATCTGCCTGAGTGCGGGTTCTAAACAGCTACCGCTGTTGGTTTCCCGAACGAAATAGTACCTTTGGGAGGAGTTTTGACAAAGGGAGCGGCAGCTCAGCGGTGTAAGTAGAATTCGCTGGGGTTGGAATGGTTTCCATTCTTTTTGGGACAAAAGACAATACTATGAAGTTTCGAATGAAAATGTATCTACACTGATTGATTGATCGATAAGATTTGAGAATGAATCTCAGCCCACTGTATCAGCTTGCCTCTTCCCACGATGACGCTTAAGTCGCAATTCTGTACAGTCACGGTAATCTCTATCAACTCATTAAATATGTATTTTAATTTAAATTTTTTTTTTGCATTAATAAAATTTCCATCCATTTAATAATGCGTATAACGGTTTTCTTTATTTACAGTAACCATAAAGGCCACAACAATTGAAGGCAAATTTGAAACTAATTGGGGGACAAAAAACTTCAGCCCTAACCGCAGCTGCGCAAATGCGCCCGACGTTAAAACCGCACTGCGCACATACCGACTTGTGAGCGCCCAAAATGGGAGCGTGGAATGTCAGTGAGAAATTACGAAACACCCAAACCCAACTACAATGAAAGCGGTAAAACCAACTCAACTTCGAGGGCAATAAACAACAATAAAAAACGCAAAACAAAAATTTCGAGCCGCTAACGAAGGTTCATCGCTGTGCGGGTGGCGGAAGACCGAGGGAACGAAATTTAAATTTTTAAAACTCAGTCAAGAGCTAATTTGAATTACGCGCTGAACTTGGGCAGCCACTTGCGGAGAAGCGGCACAAGAAACGCTTTAAAACGCAACTCCCCTAAAGTTAATAGCAAAACAGAACAACAACAAAAATGTCAAGAAGCTCCACAAGTAGATTATGGGAGCTTCTCATTTCGGCATTGATTATACAAGCATTGGCAAGCGCTTTGCCGCACACACACACACAATTCCAGCGACGGCATTTGAGCCGGCGAAGTTTGGAGTCCGCTTTGCGCGACCATGACATTGCGGCGATGGCAGCGAGCGATTTGAGCGATCAAAACACCAACGACGATGCAGAAAACTTAAAATCCAAGTCATCGGAAGGCGCCGACGCTGACGCTACTGCCGACACGCTTAGTGAAAGTGAAAATACGCGATCGGTGAAAAGCACAAAATTACTGCCCGCGTTTAGTAATAATGGCGCCGACAACGCAGGTGAACACAAGTCAGGCGAAACGTTGGTGCTAAATCGGGTGGAAAGTCGCGAGGTGAAGAGTGCAGCTGGTCACGAAGCGAAAGAAGTGATGGAGGAAAATGAGAGTAATACGAAAGACGGAAGCAAAGATGTTTCCACAGGGCATCAAGGTGCAAGTGAGGTTACAAATAGCCGAAAGTTTAGTGAAGAAGAAGAGGAGTCTAAAGCGGATGTCGTCTTTAGCCATGCTGATGACCGGCCGAAGAAGCCGCTGGCCACTGTAAACTTAGAGAGGCATATCAACAACGGATTGGATGAAATGACGTTGCGGGCCGATAACGAAAAACTCAAAAGCGAGGCTACCTTGGATGAAAAAGCTGCACAACCAGCGGCGACTGAAGAAATCTTAAAAGATTTAGAAAATGTTGCATTGAAGGTGATTATGACAACACCGAGGCACGCGGACGATGCTAACGACCGGCTTGAAGGTGTGGGAAAACAAGACATGAGCACTTTACAAACGTCGATGGGTCGGTCGATGGACACCGCGCAGAGCAATGAGAACAAATTGGAAGTGGTCTTTGGTGAAAAACCGATCGCAGAGACTGTGCTGCTAACAGCTGAACCAATTTTAGCCACAAAACCAATGTTGAAAGAAATGGAAGAGAAAGAAAAAGAGTTGGAAACTGAAACGAAGCAGCAAGAAACTGGAATAGAAACAAAAGCAACAATTGATAACCACACAGCCACTCAAGATGAAAAGCTTTCATATTCAAATGACAGAGTCGTCATCCTTGAAGAACCCCTGGTAAAGCAAATCACGGCAGCGGAAGAAATGCAAAAGCAAGCGCGAACAACATCTGTTGATGTCACAGCGGGACCTTTTGCAGGATCAACAAAGCATTCGGAAGTAGCCCACGGCGAAGAGACACGTGAAAATCTACAAAACAATCGCACTTCGACGCATGAGAAGCGCGGAAAATTCTTCAACGATAATTCCACGAATGTCAAAAATATGAATCTGCCTGATGGGCCCGAGGTTTGGTCCTTAGCAGGTATGAGAATGGTGCCGAAAACGATATATCACAACGACACAGCTATGCTACTCGCTGACACAGACAGCGGTGGGATGGATCCACGTTGGCAGGCAAATGAGATTGTGACCACCGAGCGTACAATGAATGTGAGCGATTACAGCGAGAAAAATTTACTAGATTGGTCTAAAGTGATGGGAATGCGCGATGAGTTCGAAAAGAATCATTTGACGGACGAGGCGTCGAAGAAGGAAAATGAAGAGATTGTTGAGATGTCAAATTCAAAGGTGGTGTTACCCACACAATCATCTGAAAATTGGAAAACCGAAGGGCCTTCTAGGACCAACGATAGCGCAGGGAGTAATACTCCCGCTCTAAGCGCTACCGAAGGTGTTGCAGATTTGAAAGTTGGTGAGCAATTATCGACCACTCATACGTTTAATGAGATTGATACAATCCAGGGCATAACAATAGCAACAGGTTCATCTGTAAGTACCACTACCAACCCGCCCACCGTACAAATATCACATTCAAGTAGCTCGCCCTTATCAGTTGGTCATAAGAGTGATAAACAAGCGGTTTCTATAAGCACGAATACAACTGCCGGTGTTGGAGAGCCGCTGAATGACTTATCGCCCACGTCCACTGAATCATCCACCCTACGCCAGAATGAAGAGAAAACAGGTGTAGAAGTATTCAGCGCAGCTGTGGAGAGCAGCACGCAACGCCAGTCAAGCGATGATTTCAATTTCATTATTACGTCAACGACGCCGTTGATCAAAGCCAACGTAACTGCCGACGTAAACACAGCTACAGAAGTAGCAATTAATGATACAACAACACCAACGACTACTGCATTACCCACAGCAACATTGTTAGCGGCGCTCCCAGTTGAGCAGTCAACCTCGACGGTATCACCCCCAATCCTCACAGAGGTGCTAAAGCATTCGAATAATCCAACGGTAATGAACGCGCAACCCGAGACGACAGAATTCACGCAGCCAGCAAACAATGCCGACGCAGGCGTTCGCAGTGGCAGCGCTGTTACACTTGAGCACCACTTGAAACGAGAACCCGAAACTGAAACCGAGGCTGTAACTGTGACTGCAGCTACGGCTGAGGAGCAAGCCACATTGCTAGCAGTTAGTGAGCAATCGACTAGCGAAGCGAACGGTTTGATAAGTGCAGGCGAGCAAAAAGCGTATGTGAACGTGAACGCGAGCGTGACAGCGGGTGAAGAGGGTGTCGCGACGCAAAACGAAGCCCCAAGTGTTACCACGGAAACTACGACTGAAAGTAATCAAATTGCTGCAACGACGACAACAATAATTAGTATAGTAAACACAACGGTATCGTCAACCGATTTGGTGGAAACCAATGTCAGTGAAAAAACAATTAAAGTGCTCGCAGTGACAGCAACAACAACGGAAGTTGCCCAAATCGGTAATGAAGTGGAATTAGATGTACGCACCGAGCCCATTACAGACATAGCTAAGAAGGGGCCGACGGACACAGCAAAAACGACATTAAATAGCGACACAGGTTCAAGTACAATTGTGAGGCTCGAAGAGACGACAGCGGCAGACATTGCAGAGGCAAATACAACAGCAAAAACTGTGTCGTCCATAAATGAGTTATTAGTGCCAGTGAATATAACAACAACAACAACAACAACAACAGCAAAAGCAACGCCACTAAGCACAACAGCCGAACCAATTACGACGCCACCAACGCAAGTCGCCGTAGAACAGGTTTTGCACGCGGCAACAACCCTTAAAAGTGACGAAAAGGAAATCGTAAAAGAAGCAACAACTACAATAATTCCACTAGAAACAACAGTAACAGTGCAAGCAAGTGGGTCAGTGCTCGAGAATTCCACTGCTGCTACGACACCAACACCTGTCGCTACTCAACATCGCACAGCTTTGGCGGCAGAGGGCACACATGACACAGAAAGCTCAATCGAAACGAATGTCATCGATCAACAACTGGACAAGACGGCAGTGAAAATAACTAATACAACCACCAGCGCACCAATAACAACAACCACCACTGAAGCCAGTGTCGCCGAGGAGGACGTAAGGGAAAAAGTTGAGACAGAAACTGAAGTGGCAAATGGTGTATCTACGTTTCAGTCCGCGAATGTAAACAATGTGACTACATTGCCCGATATCCAAGAAACAAAAACAACAGCAGCTATCAGCACAACCACAACTCCTGCCACAACTACCACCAGTACTACCACCATGGCTGCCGTACCATTAAGTCCCGAAAGCACTATAGCACCGCAGATTCCTGTCGTAAATGCAAAAAACATCAGCGCAACTACGACCAGCACCACCGAGCCACCGCTCATCAGTTTGCTCGATGAATCCACGACACCGACGTCCATGACATCAACACTTGCGTCCAATCAACCATCTACAACTACCTCCAGTGTTGTCGTGAACCCACAGGAAGTGTACACAGTAGTCTCTACCACCGAAAAAGCATCTAGCACCAGTACCAGCACCACTGCCTCGACCTATACTCCTGCAGTGCCAATCGCAACCATCACAAGCACCTCCGATGCACCTGTGGTCTCATCATCAACCAACACATACACTACCACAGTGGCCAGTACAATAGCAACTGTAACCACAACAATACTACCGCCCACACTGCAAGCCACCATTGGTATCGGTGGCAGCGGTGCACCTAGTCATCCACCCAGCATAATCAGTGCCGGTATCCGTCCGAACTCAAGTGATGCCAATGAGACGGATGTAAATGTCATTATAGCCATTACCGTGAGCATTATTGGTGTGGTGGCGCTCATATTACTCGTCGCTTTCCTCTATCTAATGCGTAAGCGTCAGAAGCAAATGTCCTATGGACAGCGCTGTCGTCCAGTAAGTTTGGATGCCTATAGTCTGGATAACGTGTCTGTACTGGGCAGTGTGCGTCGGAAAGGTGCTTTGCGCGCCTCGAAACGATCTTATGGCAATATTGCTTTCGATGATCCCTCGTTGAGACATAATGCTCTGAGTGCAAGTGAGTTGGCTAAGTTTGTGGAACGTCGGTCGAGTATATTTGAAGAATTCAGGGATGTGCCGCAAATTATAGCGCGTGCTGACGAAGTGCCACCGGGCTGTGAAGATAAAAATCGGTAAGTTAGTTACATACGAATACATCTTACATATAATATTTACCTCTTGAAGAGCGGAATTGAAGGCTTTATCTGCATAATTAGTTTTATAAACATAAATAATATATCGATATACACGTAGTATCAGGTTCACATATTACATATACCCACCGGTATATACACATTTGCGCTTGTATCGTAATTATTCACTTTAAGTAAATAAACAATCTTATCTTTGTAACATTGAAGATAACAAAGGGCTCTTAGCATATGACCAAAAAATTTCCTAACTGTGACATTGATCGTTGAGTTGCTCAAAGTTAAGTGCGAAGGTTAGTGGCTTCAAGAAAGAGACCAAATACAATTTTGTTGAGAAATAGTATAAGTTGAGGATATTAAAGAAACACACAGGATTCAACAGATTTCCTTCTTCATTTTAATGTTCACCAATGTTTTATGAGAAACTCGTAAAAGAGCTGATCAACCACAAAGAAAATGGATTATTTTTCCCTTACTCCCATCTAATTAGCAGCTTCTACAACGGCTGTTATGGCGTAGGCCCATTTTTTGTGCATGTCCTGCCGGCAATGGTATTAATTTCGCTTCAGATTCTTTAAGAGATACTCCGACTTCGCCAGATCATAAAGTGTTTTTTTGCCAAAAATTATTTTTTATGGCCGCAAGCCCATATTAAGGAGACCTGACAGCGAGCTTAAAACCTTCCTACATTTATTGACAATGAATTGAATTCATCCTTGTCTACGAGAAGGCCATCAGTACCACCTAGCTGGCTAAATAGTTGCTTTCTTTATCCTCACGTTGTTATTCCCCAGAGCTCTACAGGCCTTTTCTATGCAGAGTACTTGCGCTTGGGAAATACCAGCAGAGTTCGATGGACGAAAGGAAATGGAAATTTTGAGACCACAGTCCGTTTTCGGATCGATCGAAACAGCTTGAGATGGTGTTGTCTACTCTCTAACAAACCCCTTCTCCATTCACGTCTAGGAGATACCCTCACCGTGAAGCGTCTATTGAAATCTGATTTTAAATATTACAATCTCTAATGGGGTTTTAACCTCATATCAATGCCAATTATTGTTGGATTTTTGAAGAGACCATGCTTTAAAAAATATTATATTAATCCTTGCTTAACTTAATCCTAATTACAAATTGAGTAAATATAAATATTTCTATGCAAACTAGAGCTCACATTTTACAAATGTTTTCACACCGCATTTGTTTATTTTCCAGACACTTAAGCTTCTACATTTCAAATACATTTATTTATACTGCATATGTACATATGTATATGTATGTTTGTCATTAGGGTACGTCTTTTATTGTATCAATTTATATCTTAAGGTGCTGATAGGCGTTGCAATTAATTTAATTCAAATTGCATGTCAAGAGCAGCCACACTTATCATACGAAATATCATTGAAATAGCATTTCTTATTCCTAGAAAATAGTTTATTCCACAATCCATTTTCAAAAACCTTTTTTTTGGCAATACTCAAATCCTTTGAAGCGAAATTGAAACATTTTCACAGCAAAACGTCGTGAATTAAGTGAAATAAAAATTGCGTGAAAATTGCTACGACTGACGGCATCTTTATTGTATACGAATTAGAAAGTGCTTACCCAGAATTCTCAATTCAGCCGAAAAGAAAAGTAATTGTAAGCGGTGGCGCTTAAAGGATTAACGTCTACATAATAATTGAGCAACCTGAAAAATGTTCTACTAATTACGCCTTACCTTTTTCAAGAGATTGTACTACACAGATGAATGATTTGTCATAGTTAGGTATTCGCTCTTACTGAAATCAAAATCAATTTAAGTTCCAAGACCTAAGCTGTTTTCTATTCTCCATAGCTTCAAAAGATATTTGTCAATGCCAAGTGATGCAGAAGATCAATTGTCAAATTTACTCATTGAACAGTTTGAATTAAATCGCTTAAGTTTCCCAACAACACATCCACGGTGTTTCCGAACCAACCTTTGATTTTTGTTTACGGCACCTCGCGTAACAGATTTCTTATAGGCAAGACAGACTATATGTATTATCTGCATAAGATGGTTTAATTTGCATAAACTTGTGACTTATCCTTCGATACTCTGATATTGCTTGACAATTCTAGCAGAAGAATGTTAAATTTTCTTTTAGATAAGTAATTGCTGCTAATTGATTTTTATTACTCTCATTCATTTTGTAATCCGAATTTTGTGTCAAATCAGCTGATCACTAAATGCGCATTATGTACTGTCTGTCAGGGGCAAACATCGAATTTTTATTTGTACAACTTAACTCAGCTAGCCTGTCTCTCCTATTAATATCTGTAAGAAGGTGGCCTTAACGACTTGATAACTGCTGTACAGAAAAAACTTGTTTGGCAAAGAAGAATCCGTATTAATATAGAAATTTCTACAACTGGGTATTATTTAACTAATAGTATTTCGGACTCCAAGGTATAGAGATTAACCTTTTGGCTATTTAAGACACAATATTGATGTTCTTTCGAATAATAGAGTGTCCTCACAGTTTATTTAAAGCCGCCTCCGAACAGTCGATGGATTTTTATGAGGAGCCTTTATTTCGTGGCAGGAATGTGCTTGATGGCAGTACGCAATCCTAACCACTCGACTATTGAGCCGCTGACCCAGTTCGGGAAAGTAGGGTGCAATCCTCACCCTACCAAAGTTACAAGCAAAAAATGAGACTTTTGAAGGATGAACCTAATTTATGAGCAGTCAAATAAGGTTTTTAAAAAGATTTTACAGTGTGCCTTGGATTTTGAGCCATTTGGAATATATAAGAATCGTTTCTAGATTCGCTATTGATAATTGTCATAAAACTCCGTTTATATAGAATATCGATTGAGCATAAATTTTTGAAAATCAAAATTAAGTATTAATGCTCACTCTAATAGCTACACTTACAGTGCTTAATACTATATACATACATACGTACATACATACATTCGTATCTACTCAGTTAAGTCTTGAGTCATCAGTAGTTTTTTTTGTGATTTTTTAAAATTAATTAATTAATTGAGTTTCCTTGATATCATTGCCGAATGTTCTAATGACACTTGTTTTCTCTCTTTCTCTTTTTCTCGCCTTCTTCCATTTTCTAATTTCTATTCGCTGCTCGTCTGGCGGTGCACACAATTAAACACCAACCGCATTTAGATATGCCAATGTGATACCGCTTCCTGAGACGCGTGTCGTACTGCAGCAGCTTGGAGATGATGACAAAACAGAATATATAAACGCCAATTATGTCAGGGTAAGTACAAATTTATGAATTTATTCACTGTGAGCACCGAGATACACATGTCTATATACACGTATGTAACAACTAATATTTAAATATGTAAAAATGTAAATTGCACTGAGCATTCGCAATTCGAATGTGCGGGAGGGACGCATAATTTTGTGGTGAATAATTTTGAAATGATAACGGTGTGTATGCATGTGAATATTTCCGAAGACTTTCCTTTATCTACATAATATACACGAACATATCTACACAGATACGCTCGTATCTACTTAAATACCTGCAAAAAATGAACTGCACTATAAGCGATAGAAAGTGTCGTAAGATAATACAATAAAAATGGTATTTTTGTTTATATATGTATCAATAAGATTTTGAAGAGTCATTATGAGAACACGTTCAAATCAAAAGTTTATTGAATTAACTTAGCTGCAAAAATAATTTTATAGTAGATTTGATACCGACGTCTTGCTTTCGACTTCCATCAGTGGTACTCGTTGTGACCTAGCTAGCGTAGTCTATGTCTCCTAATTCGCCGTAGTATATCGATTCCCTCGTATAACTCGTCCAGCTCATCGTTCCACCGTCTGCAGTATTCGCCGTCACTTATACGCAGAGGATCTAAAATCTTCCGCAAAACCTTTTACTCAAAGACTTTCAAAGCAGATTGGTGGATGGGAACGTTGAGCGACTTGTAGAGATTAGTTTTTATTCGTCGAAACAGGATTTTCCAGTTCAAAGTAGCACCTACTGTGAAGAGTGATTCTGCATTGTGTTTTTAGACTTGCATTTTTCTTGGTATTTATGGTCAACAGTGATGAGTGAGCCAAGACCCGAATGCAATGACAGTTCGCTTGCTGCCAGCAGATATTTCGTCATTTATACCAGACCCATTCGCGTCACTTCGTAATCCAGCTTAAAGAACGCAGAACTTACGGTCCGATTGTTGCGGCAAATATCATCGGCTAACGCCAGTGGTTATACACTCTTATACAAAATTGTACGTGCAGCCCTTGTTATTTTCGCCAGTCCATAAAAGTCTCCTTGTCTGAAGCCTCGTTTGGTATCGAATGGTCTGGAGAGGTCCTTCCCAATTTCGAGGGAGTTCTTGATGTTGCTCAGCTTAAGTTTGCATAGGCGTATAACTCAGATATAGTGTCGTGTGGGTACCTTAAAAAGCGAGGGAAAGAGGTGGTGTGTTTCGATCCTTTTCTCACGGATATTTTCAAGAATATGACTACTGTTGAATATTTGGATATTTAGAGGGCTAATCGCATGATGATTCACCTTTAATGTATGGGATATAGAGCTTTCAGAGAACAGTAGTGCAAGTCAACTAGAGAGTAGCTTGATTGTTTGTAAGGAGAAGTCCACCATCCGCAGCTCCTCATTGTCGCGTCCATCGCATTTTAAAGATGGCGGTGAAGTCAGCCTTATTTTTTATGGGTAACATCAGCGACACTTTCCCAATTAAAGGATCGGACATCCCCGTTGCAAGCCTTAGAATTATAATTCTTAACATGTGTCGTCATCAAAAGTGGGGTCTCTCATCCGAGGTATTGCTAACTTATTCATTGCAGCTGACTTTTATGTGGCGCACAACCTGCTAAGCGAGAGAGGTATTGGTTGGAACAAATTTATAGAGGGAACCGCTTGCATCAGCACCGATGCCCGCTCGCAGCTGCACCTCCGAATAAGTCGGATGACCAAAGCCCCTAAATGCCAGGCGGCATTGTAAAACTGCTGGCGCTCGCAACTTACAACGCCTGCCAAACTTACACAAGGGTTGCAATGTATAAAGCTTTTGCATCTCTTGTGTATTGTAATTGAAAAAAAAATATTGTCAGCGGGTTGTCTATATGTTTCATCAGCAATGTGCTTTCCGTGCCAAGTTTGCACTTGACTTGAAGAGATTTTTGTAATTTATCGCTGTCATCTGATTTACTAGTGTAGCCTTTATTATATACAATACGTACAATGTGAATATGTACATACATATTTATTTCAATTTATACGTAAACAGATGTACACCCGTTATCATTGTAAACACGGTATACATGTATGTATGTACACCGACAGTAAACGCAGAATGTTAGTGATTTGTGTTTTTTCTTCTTTTGTTCAACTTGCCTTGTGTGTCGTTGTTTTTGCTTTTATAAAAACCACAAAGCGCAAAATTACGCGATCATTTGATGTTCCATTTTAATTTCCTTTCTTTTCTTTATACGGTTATACTCAAAAATGTGTACATATGTACACATATAAACGGATTACAGTACAAGGTGTGTGAATCTTAGGAGTTTAATTGTAAATTTACTGACTTTGCTTTTGTAGTAAATATGTACATTTGTTTGTCATAATATCTACTGCATCAGTTTGTCAACTGTTGAGAGGAAAATTTTATTATGCAAACTTAGACGGCACTCAAACCTTCAAGCAAAATTTACTGTGCCCAATCATTGCACTCACCTTTGCCATTGTTAAGGTAACCGTTAAGAAAGGGAGTATCTTTTTTTTCGGAAGAGACGTTCATGCATTTAAACTGGTGCGCTTAAACTAAAATTGCTGCGAAAAAATTTTGAAAATTTAAAAAACATTTCCAATGCATTTGGCGTTTGACGATGAGAAAAAAACATTTCGTTCCGTTTAACCGTAGTTTTTGGCCTTTTAAATTCTACTTTTGGCTAGATTTTTAAAATTCTGCATCATTAAAGCCGCCTATTGTAGGCAAAATTCAATTCTCGATCTTCCAGCAATCGTTCCTCTTCATCTTAATAATCGTTGAGCCGCAAATTATTTTACTGCGAATTGTTTCTTATGTTACCAATGCCTTCAATTTTATTATTCCTTTTGTTGGCGTGGCGTATGAGTAACCTTTGCAAACCTTATCCTTATCTTTTTGGCAACACAAAGCTCATTTTTGGCTTAATGGGTGCGTAAAAGAGCAGAATTGTCTATTTTGGAGTGAAGATCAGCCAGAGCATTGCAAGAGCGGCTTATGGGCTAGTGGCATCTTTGGACCGTACTTCTTCAAAGATTGTGCGAATCGTAACGTAACTGTGAATGGTGAGCGCTACCGTGAGATGATATCAAACTTTTTTTGCCCACAATGCAAGAGCTTGACTTTCATAACATGTGGCTTCAACAAAACGGTGCCACCTGCCACACAACACGCGTAACAAAGGACTTATTGAGAGGCGAGTTCGGGGAACATTTTATTTCACATTCGGGACCGGTCAATTGGCCGCCTAGATAGTGCGGTTTAACACTTTTAGTCTACTTTTTGTGGGGCTATGTTAAATCTATTGTCAATACAGACAAGCCCGCTTCAATGGATGCATTCGAGGACAACATTGAAGCATTTATTCGTGAGATACCGGCCGAAATGTTGGAAAGAGTATGCCAAAATTGGACTAAGCGGATGGACCATTTGAGGCGCAGTCACGGTCAACATTTACATGAAATAATCTTTAAACATTAAATTATATGGACCATGCTATCGATTCCAATAAACATTTCATGCATTTTTCTAAATTTTATGTTTTTTTTTTTTTTTTTTTTTTGAAGTTTCCCTTTAGAACGGTATACGAGAACATATGTACATTACGTTCATTTGAATTTTTGTTTACTTTGATTTCCAAAACTACACGGCAGACTATACGTGCTTATGGTTCCTGAAGAGGTTTGTACGAAACATTTTTTCGTGAAGTATTTTTGGTTCGATTTACTCGAAATTCTTTTTTTTTTCCGGGAAAACCGATCTATTCGAAAACAAATAATAATAGTGCGGTTTGGTCAAATTTTTGAATTATATGCCCAAATGGAATAATTTTGTTTTCTACAAATGAACCAGAGACCTGCAAGCACGCTCCGCATTTTTATTATTCTGCGTCTGCTATTTTTACACGTTCAACTCGAATATGAATAAGAATAGATCCGAATGATACATGTAGCTTACTTCGAGATAATCAAATTTTCGTGAAAGAATTTGAGCAGCTGATGTGTTCTATACCTACAAAACAAGTAGTTAGATCAATCATATAAAATATTTGATTTCGGCCGAGCTTCTTCCACAATTCGTGGTGTGCCGCCTCTAAATGGACGGTGGATTTCTATGAGGAGCTTTCAGGTTCAAGTCAGAAATGCCTTTGAAAAGTTTGACGTTTTCTTCCCTGGGACGACCGCAATTTACCACTCGTCTACTGCGGCCGTCGTATAATAAAGCACTTAAGTATTTTGAATTGGATGATGCTTAATTACGGTTTTCTTGAGGTTCCTTGCAATACCAATTAAAATCTATATTGGACGAAATACACAAAACCGCAACAATGTGTGGCCGGGTCTGCCAAACGACTGATGGATTTTTGTGACACACCGGTCATACCAAAATTAATCAATGCTCATCTTCAACGAACACTTTTCTTTTTGATTTTGAATTAAATGATACAAATGGTATTTTATTCATTAGTAAATAAAAACAAAAATTTATTTAGTTTTCTTTATAAATTTTTTAATTGAGATTTTTATATTAAATTTTTTATGTACATAATTTTCTTGCTCAGCTCATTTATACCGATTGAAGTAAAAATATACATTCATTCTTTGCTTTAAATATGTATATGCATGTATATATAGAATGTGTGATATGAAACATGCAACCAATTGGCGGGAAGTTGTGGGCGATAACTTCCACAGAAAAGCTGAAGTTTTTGTTGTTGCTTCCAGTAGCAATAGGCTTGGCGACAATTCAAATTGTTATGTTTAAAAAATCTTTTCAACAAATTTTCTATTTATTTCAGTTGTTAAAATTCGTAAGCTTTGCTTGTAGAGTTTTGAAGGGCGTTGATTAATGAGTTTAAATTCGCACAATGATGTTGTTGTTGTTGTTGTTGTTTATATCGATTAATTACTCGCATGTTATTGTTGCATTTGCGGTTTGACAACCTCCGACAAAAGTTACAAGCCGAAAATGGCAAATTTATATAAAAATATGTATGTATGTATGTATTGTATGTATACATATTTATTAACTTTTTATAAGAATAAACTCGCTTGACTTTCGGAATTTTTTTCATTTAATTTTTTCTTTTTATTTCATTTGAAATCGATGATTCATTTGATTTTATAACTGGAAATCTGTTTCAATATTTAACATCATCGACAATTCGTATGGATATGTTTTCATATGGACAACGTTTTTAGCTGCAATGAAAGTCATAAGAACTAAGCGAATATACAAAATTTATGGGATGAAATCTGAAGTGAACTGGACATTTGAATGAGTTCATCGTACTTTACAGTTACTTTGACAATTCTCCACAGAATACATTTAGTCCACCTCCTTCTTCATTGGCGTTGCCAACGCTTTAGCTCAAAACTGAAACTAGATCCCTCTCCACCTGTTCCTTCCAACGGTACTGCATACCTTCGGACAACACGATCTAGCTAGCATAGCAGCTACCTTTTTTCCGCTGAACTACGTCAATGTCACAAAATGTTTCTCTCGAAGACTTCGAAAGCAGATTTTTCGAACCATCTTCATTACCATTAATTATCCAGAATGGTAACTATTATTTTGGTCATTTTTTATCAAGTTGTATTTCGGTATCGATGACGATGTTCCTATGTTGAAGTACGAGTAGCCATTGCATGTCTAAAGGCTAACAAAGGGCGGAAGTCGTTCAAGTCAAGAACTAAACTAAGAGAGCATTGCTTACTCCTGCACAGTCAGTCATGCGGACGGCCCGCGGAAGATAAGGTCTGAATGTATTTCTGACATGAAATAAGAAGTTTCTCATAGAAATCCCACTGACATTCAAGAACTGCTTAGAACTGTAAAATCTTTCATTTATAAAGCGTCAATTATATCTCTGAGACGGAATGGTTTGCTAGTGATTTTTGTACCAGCTATGAAGACTCGACGAACAAAGTTGAAACTCGCTCAAAAGACGCTCAACATTCGTACATAGCGCACAGAAACCAGTACAATGTCAAAATTGAATGAGTCGACACTAGGTGCTTCAGTGTACAAGAGATTTACGAATGTTTGTAGTTCAGGGCATTCATATAGAACGCATGAGCAAAACCATAAGGCTTTAACTTTATTTGTTAATCTCGAAAGATTCGAATGTCGCATGTCTTTCCAAAGACATGTCTCCACACTAAAGACCGCAGCAGACTCATAAGATTATTGTTAAGAATTAGATTTGCTTGATCTTCGTTAGTTCATAATAATAATTTTACGCTTTCTCGTTCTCCCACAGGGTCCCAAGGACTCGCCCAACTACTATATAGCCACACAGGCGCCACTCGAAACAACAGTTGTGGATTTCTGGCGAATGATTTGGGAGCAAGAATCACGCGTGATCATCCAAGCGACGGATCTCTATGAGAACGGTATCGAGAAGTGTGCTGAATATTTGCCACCATCTGTCACACTGGACAATCATACGACTTATGGCGATTTCCAAATAACCCTCAAACATCGTGAAGTCAAAGATAAATATGCCATCTCGACGCTGTTGTTGAAGAACACAGCTGAGAATATGAGTCGTGAACTCACACATTACTGGTACAAATGGCCTGAGGCGGGTGTACCCAGCGAAGAGGCGCCCATTATTGCAATGCTATTGGAGGCGCGCTCTTCACTCAAGGGTTATGTCAATGAGGCGAGAGATAAGGGTTCGAGTGGCACGCTAAAAGCAGATGGCAATGGTGAGACGTTGCAAAATGGTAATGGCGTTACGGTTATAACAGTCGATGATGTGAGCGATAAAACCGAAGCGGAACGCGTGAATGGTGCAGGAAAGGAAAATGCGGAGATTAATGGCAATGTTTCGGCGATGGACAAAATGAGGAGTACGACGTTAAGGAATCAGGGGTAAGTTTGTTGTTACATAACTTGCGCGTTGAATGAAAAATCTTTGGATTTGTCGTGTGCATTGTGTTAACAACGTTTTTATATGTACATATATATGTATGTTCATTTTTATAATGTATTAAATGTGGTCCAACGACAACAAAATTCAACACAAATCTAAGCGCAGAGAGAAATCGTCAAGAAAAATGTATCAAGTGCTAACAGACCATGCGAAACCGCGCTCGGGATTCAAGCACAGAATATCTGGAGTTTGTACCGTTATTGCGCTTGTTCTACAACGTAAACCCGACCTCCGGGAACATCAAGAAAAGAGTTAAGGGAAAGGAACTTTTCCAAAATTAATGAGATAAAACACCCTCAATGAGATTTTACGCGAATATCCGGAATAACTGTGAGGCGGCTAAACTGACTAGATTAGGCAACACTTTACAATTATTTACCTCTGGCTTTGTGAATATTTAATTGATTAAAATATCAAGGAAATACGACGGTTGAATACCTCTGGACACAATCACTGACTTGGTCAATAAGCAGGCATGTGAGCCGCACATGTCGCTCAATCAAATTTAATAAAAATGACGTGAGAACTCTAAGAGGAGTGCTCCAAGCCTAATTGGTAGACACGCAGGTCATATGCGGGTGTAAAACATTCTAAAGGCAATGGTAGGCAACTGTCGGCATCGGCTTCCTTGAAGATAACTCAGAAATTTGCTCATATTAACCTATTTAGCTTTATTAAGCCCACAGAGTGGTTTAAGAAGTACAAGCTAGTGTGAGGGAATTTCAGTTCGAGTGGCACCACAATGGGTCTAGGTGCGTCGCATGACATTCACTCTGCCTACTATCTTATGCTGTTGCTGAAATGAATCCTTAAAATGAAGTTGATACTTATTTTTGGACAACCCTAATACACAAATAATCCCAAAATAAGTCATAGTTATATACTACATACATATAAATACATAGCGGGTCTAGTAATCCAATATTTTTGCAATAGATGTTTTTAGTGATCTCTATCTCGCGTTCTATAATTGCGATTGGATTACGCTAGATGGCATTAGAATGATGATATTTTGTACTATAAAAATAACGGGAGAATCGTTGGTTCTGTTACCGTAACAGTAAATTGTGCAACATTTTGGCTCCGTCGATTTCGATCCGGTAGTTTCGATTCAACAGAAGCCCATAGTTGAAAATGTAGTTAAAATAATGGGAATCGTCGCGTCTGACCGTCGTGTGAGCACTATTTCGATTGCTCAAGAGATAAACATTGCACAAGAAACAATTTGGAACCACTTGAAAAAGGCTAGATACGCAAAGAAGCTCCATGTATAAGTGTCACACGAGTAAACGAGAAATGAACCCATGGAAGGGGTTCCATCTGCGAAACACTACTGCATGACAACGAAATCGAGCAGATAGTGACTGGAGATGAAAAGAGGATCATTTATAGCAATGTCAAGTGAAAACGATCGTGATCGAAGGGGGTGAGCCGACGCAAACGGTCTCCAAGCTAATATTGATGGCCAGAAAGGTTTTGTTGTGCGTTTGTTGAGATAGCCAAGTAATCATCCAGTATGAGCTGCTCGCCTACGACCAAACTCTTAATTAGGATCTGTACTATCAGCAATTGAACCCTTTGAAGGGTGAAATCGTCCAGAAGCGCAAAGCTTTTTTGCCAACAGGAGGGGGATTGTGTTTCATCAAGACAACACCAGACCACATACATCAATAGTGACTCATCAGAAGCTTTGAAAACTTGGTTGGAAGATTCTTACGAATCCACAGATCCTCGCACCAAGTGATTACCATCTGTTTCTGTCTAGGGCAAATGATTTGGCTGGTGAAGAATTGGCCTTAAGGAAAGCCTGTTATAATCGGTTGTCCCAATGTTTTTCCCAATAGTTGCGTGAGTTTCTATGAGAGAGACATAATGACATTTCTTTCACAAATGCAACGGGATATATTTGACATAAATCAAATGGCTATAACTACTGTTAATAAAGTGCTAAAAAAACTAAGGTCAATTTGTTTATAAAATTAAAATCTTGCACTTATGCCAACGTCTTTTCCAATTATCGAAGCATGTGAAATGGTCAAGTTCTGGTATGGCCTTCAGAGAGCGCGCCGATTTACGTTTAATCTCCTCAATCGACTTAAAACGGTATCTTCGAAGTAGTCTTTTGAGTTTTTAGAAGAGCCAGAAATCACATGGGGCTAAGTCCGGCGAATACGTTGGTCGGGTAACGATATTCTTGGGTTTTTTGCGAAACGGTCATGAAAAATGAGAAATGATTTGAAATGATTTAGTAAATCCAAACGTAACTAAAATACCAATGATGACATTGTTGAAAGTTGGCGTAGATGTCAAAAGCAGTGCTACCCTGCGGGTTAGAGAATCAAGAATTTACCCGCGGTAAGACATGCCTGTCGTAAGAGGCGACTAAAATCCTATAGTTCCCGCGACAGTAGGGTCTTTATACGAGAACGACCCGGATTTTTATCCGGCCAAGGACTGTTACTCCCGCAACATTCCCCAAAAAGTACTTTGGGGAATAATTTTACGGTTACAACAACAACAACAATAAAAAATAAGAATTAACGCGAAATATTAAACGCTTGAGGTTTTCACCTTACTTTTTGCTCACAGAGTATTCAATTTAATGCAAAAATAATGGATTACTTTTTCTTAGACCAATATGAGATTAGAAGAAATATTTTGTAGAAGTCGTGTTAAGAATATTTGGGTTTATTTGTAAATCTCATGTATTTTATGCATTCCTATTAAACATTTGTGTTTGTCCTAGTCCGTTTTGTAATTCGTTTGTATGTTTTCTATCTTATTCTTTCTATTTTTAGTCCCTTAACGATTCACTGCTCTCCAGGTACCGGACGCACCGGCACAATCATCGCCTGTGACATGGCCATACGAAGTTTGGAGACCCCGAAGCGTTCCGTTGACATTCCGCAAATCGTCTATTATGTGCGGCGAGGACGAGCCAGCGCCGTCCAAACTAAGGAACAATACGAATTTATTTACAAAGTGGCGCATATGTATGCGACAAAGATTACAAATCTATCAAATGATAATTGAAAGCGGTAAAATATTACCGTTATTTATCAATAACAATATTCATCGCTATACAAACGAAAATGCAATTCACAGCATGAGCTTACGAACTCAATACACACGATGGATGTGTCATGCGTTTTCGCATTGGAACCACCCATAGTCAGGAGGTATAAGCGCGTATGTATGTAGATACTCGTACATAATCGTATTTAGCATTGCAGTATTTCGCGAAGATTTTTCGTTTGTATATGTGTTGTAGTAGTAGTATGTATGTATATTTTTATGTATAAAAAAATCTTTGCCACCTAGTGAATTTAATTTCTTGCACTCTTCTTCTTCCAATAATTTCCTTGCATTACCTTGTATGTATGTATTTGTTTTTTTAAGAAAGTTGTATGCAAATTAATTTAATTTGTATAAATGCGTGTGCAGCGCTTTAAATAATAATAATTATTATAATACTATTGAAATGTATTCCTCTATTATTGTGATATAAACATACATACATATTTTCTTTATTGCTATAAATTATGTTTTGTTTAATTAAGTTGTAAATACAAAAATAAGTACGATTATGTAAAAAGAAGCAGAAGGATACCCGCATATCCGCATATTGAAAAGTTGTAGAAAACTGTAAAACCACTCATTTGTATGTATGTAAATTAATTTACGAGATATTACCATGAAAGAATATAAAAAGAAATAAATAAATAATATGAATATTTGTGTGAAAAATAACTGTTGTATTTATTTGTGTCTAATGAAGGCGAAACTACGTTTTGGTATTCGTAAGTGAAGCTTAACATTCAAAATTACATATATTATTTGTATTATTCAGGCGTTTTTAATATATGTACATATATATATATGTACATCATTCAAAGTATGTACTCTTTCCCATCTATCTTTCCAATACCATCTCTAAAAGCTGAGTCCTCTCTGTCCTCGATCCAATCGTTGAGCCTTTCTTCGATTTCATCAAAAGACCCGAACCGGTAAGCCCTTCAAATCGAAAAAATCAGTAGTCGGAAGGAGCAAAGATCAAAAGAATACGGAGGGTGAGGCAGAACCGCCCATTTAAGTGTTTCCTGGTAGTTTTTGACTTTCACGTCTTTTCTAACCGTTTCGTTTCACGCTATGCTCGTCTAAACAGCATCAATGATTTCGTAAAACTAAAATAAACTTCAAGTGAAAAGAACCATAAAACACAAACTTTTACACAGGAACAAACCCTTGCTGGTACCATAGAAACAATCTGTCAAGCTTTCGTATAATCTGCCGAGTAATTACGGAGGTCACTGAGGCATAAAAAGAAATAAACCGATCGAGTCAGTTAAGACATTTCAAGCAAACTTGGTACCCAGATATATTCTACCTAACTATAATCAAATTATAGCCGAGTGTGGCTACGGTAGCTGAGTGGTTAGCATTGCGTACTGCTATTCGGAATGCCCGGGTTCAAGTCCTGACCAACACCCAAAAGATATAATAAATAGAGCTCCTCATAAAAAACTATCAACCGTTCGGTGGCGACTTAGTATAAACTGGAGGTCCCTCAATGTGCTGGAAAACCACAAATTAAAGGAGGAGCCGAAATTATATACTATATAATGAATTTAAATAAAATATACATATATATTATATATAAAAAATTTATTCATTTTGTTTTACACTTTTCCCTATTTGTGTTGAATAAACAATCTCCCACAAGTTCTCCCAACTGGACTGAAATCGGGTGATTGAGCGGACCAATCCCAAACATCTATGGCATTTTGCTGCAATTACCAGAATTTTCAGTATTACCACAGAATATGACAGCATTAAAAATATGTATATATATAAACGTCATTTTATATGTTAGCCGCTGGAGGAACCTACTGTTTATTCCAAGCCAACTTAGAACGGCTGATGAAATTGGTTTAATCAGCTGTTGTATATGGGTAAGTTTATGGCATCTCTAGTTCAACCATTAGTGAGACACCACAGTGTTGCTTTGAAATATTTCTGAACAAATGTCAACATTGCTCAGAGAACGTATAACTCTCTCTCTCACTGCATTACTGTATTGTCAGATAACCTTTTTTACGTTCTCCGTTCTCTGGTATTGTTTATCAACTGCCTACTCATAAAGAAAAATCTGAAGTCAATTCCCTGGGATTGCGTGGTACTAATTTTCTTTAACACAGTCTTAGAAAAACAATACAACTGTTGAATTCTTTGTTAAAATCTTGGCACAAAGTACTTGTTTACACAAATAAAGAAATGAAACTTTATTCGATACTATTTTTATTAACCGTATTCTCACTGGCAAGCTTTGCCGATGACGTGAAACCCACAGTAAGAATTGGCATTAAAAAGAGGGCGGAAAACTGTGAAATCAAGGCGCGTAAGGGTGACACTATACATGTGCATTACCGAGTAAGATAAAAAAAATTTTAGAGGTTTATTAAGTAATTCTAACTGTAAAATTTACATTTATACAGGGTACCCTGAAAGATGGTACTGAGTTCGATAGTAGTTATGGCCGAAATAAAGCATTCTCAGTACGACTCGGTGCTGGCCAGGTAATTAAAGGATGGGAACAAGGACTATTGGGTATGTGTGAAGGTGAGAAACGTCGTTTGGTCATACCGCCTGAGCTTGGATACGGCAAATCGGGAGCTGGAGACAAAATACCTCCCGATGCAACTTTAGTATTCGAGGTGGAATGTGAAAAGATTGATCGCCAAAAAACGGATTTATAGATCACAAATTTTTGAATTTAAATCACTTAGAAATTTATTAGAATCGAAAAGACACATTTCTTACCCCACTATAAATTGAACGCAGAATATCAGTTCATAAAAACTTAAAACTATGTACATTTTTGTATTTAATAAATGAGAAGAAGTTAATCACATCTATACTGTTTCTCAATACTTCTTAATTGTTTTGCGTATGAGTGCTAAACGTTGTTTATGAGCTTCTGTTATTGCTGCGCGCTTATATGGCCGCAACTCGTCCGTGCCGAAGCCAGGTATCCACATATTCCATTTGCGTTCTAAATGTAGCTGCACGTCACGTACCTCCACTTTAGAGACTTTACGATGTTTAGCAAATCCACATGTCGCCTTCACTGCATCTTCAACAAAGTCGTCAGCTATTTGCAACAAAAGCTCTTCAACGTCTTCATCGAGTTGTGCAGTAACATCGACTTCGCGTACAAGCTCTAGTAGCCGTGGTTTTGTTAAAATCTAAAAATATTAAAAAATATATTAATAAATTATTTTTTTTTTTTGTTGATTCGTTGTAATTTAAAATCTGCTGTATACCGGTTGATTTTCCGCTGCCGAACTTGATTTTCCTCCACTGCTACCACTACTACTAACTGTTCCATTTGTTGCTGTGCTTCCAGAGTTTGCTGGTGTGGCGACACTACCGCCACTTGGTGTGTTGTTAGCAGCTCCAACCCCAACAGAGTTGGAATTCGCATTAGTTAAAGGACTACTTTGAGAAGGCGATGCCATTATGAAATCCTGTGAGTCTTCGCAAGCGCCGTTGCTATCGAAATTTGTAAAAATATCCGACATTGTTTTGATTTTGTTTACCAATTTATCAGATTTGAAGGAAAACAAAAAAAGCAGGCCAATTTGGGAGAGAGCTGGTGTAATGTCTTGGATAGGCGGTATACGGGAGTATCTTTGGCGGGTGTACAGATTAAAATTTATAGATAAAATAGTTCTGTAACAAGAGTAAGAAATGTTTGTTCGTTCCAAATATGTGAGTGATTGTATTGAATTTTTTGCCCAGGTTTTTAGTAGCAAGGTGTTCAACTTCGCTTGTACCTTTAGCTTTGCAAAAAAATGTGCTCAAGACAGCACGCTATATGTAAAATTAAATATGATATTAAATTAAAGTATTGAAAATTAAATGGAAAATAAATGTTTGTATTGTCGAGGATTAGGAGATGGATTATCAAGTAAATTAAGGATTTCATTGCATTCTCTTTTTTATAATCGTAGACAAATCTATACTTTTAAATGTGCTTATTCGGCATTAAGAAACTTACCAACTTCAGTGGGTGATAACTCCTTATATTAATTTCTAAATTGTTTCTCAGGTATCAACTTAGCGTAAAAATTGTTTTTTCTTCGTAAGAAAACAAATGTGACATTGGATGCTGTTATACTGTCAAGTAATCATAGGGCTGCCAGATGCCTAAATTTTCTCCTAAAGCAAAGAACTAATATGAATAAGAAGCGACAAGACTCATACCAAAGAACGTATATGACTAAAAATCAGAGAACGTTCTATAACGGGTGCATGTATAAAAATTCTTAATTAAAAAAATTCTTGATTTGGTACACAATCCAAGATCTATTTTCGTATGTAAAATGATTTTATGAAAACATACTCAAACATTCTCAAGAAAAGAAAACATGTTTATTGGGGTTAATAAGTTTTTATTATTTGAGATAAGTTCATCTCTCATACATAATTTTGAGTATATTAATTTATAACTGTGTTGCTACAAGAATGCGATTATGGAAATAGTTTTACAAATAGGCTTGCTAATTTAATAAACCGATTGCTCAAGTTCGATTTTGTTTAGCGCTTGGCGAGCTTTAAAGCAAAATAAATACCCATAACAAAAACCAAAACGATTGCCAGTTTTCGTAGGTTCGCTCGGTTGACGCCCTTAATGGATCGTACAACTTCTCCATTGTAAATAAAAACATTACGACTTTCTTCGATGAACTCAGCGCGGAGTTCGTCGTCAAACTTTCCATAATTATCATTCAGCACTTGTCGCAATTTATTCTTAAGAACAGAGATTTTGTCTGGGAAAAATGTTGCAGCGCACCCTTCAGGACAAATTGTTACTTGTCTAGGCATCGGACGATTCTCTAAATCATCGATATCTGCATCAGTGTTAGATGATTTTATTTCCTCTTCCTCATCCTCATCTTGCCGACCAAACCAAAGTTTTCGCTTAATCATTCGCTTCTTTTGCAATAATTGGCCACCGGACATTAAAGCCATATACATTTGATAAGCATACGCAAATAACAGTAGCTTATTTTTTGCGTTGACCTCCTGTAAATGTACAATATATTTCTTAACACTATCCCGTGGTTCATAGGTTTCTTTCCAATTCTTGCCAAGGAAATAGGCCAAATCCTGTTCAAAGGCAATTTTGCGATGAAGCTCCCTTGGTAGTAAATTTTCAGGTAAATTTTCTTCAAGGTATTTGTAAATCTCGTAAAATGCCAATAGACCATCATACCAAACAGCATCATCCGACAAAGCTGAAAAAAAAAAATTTTTTAATTAAGGCTATTTCTCGTTTGAAACTTACCTAAAGCAAATTTGGCATTTACAAGCACATCACTTATTCTATGCACATCTTTTGTTGCTTTACGCAATTCCTTTGTAAAGGTCATATCAACAATAGGATTATTTGTGTCATCTGTTACTGTTTGGTCTGGTTCATTTTTTTCTTCCACAGGAAGTGATTGCGACGCAGATTCCATATTTCTTTGTTCAAGCAACTAATTTTTTATTACACTCTTTTTTATATAATAGATTTATATATTTTCCGTTCGGAGATGTAAGTAGTGTTTACTTTATTTTGTTTTGACGAAATTGAGCAGAGAATGTTGATAAACAATAACAAATACACTTATTAAAAATGTTTACAACTGATATGGATGTTGCCAGATGATTTGGAATGCGATAGGTTCAAGATAATGTTATTTTATTATAGGAATTTTTGATTATGAGATTATAAACATATTAATATTATAACGATTTCGCTAAATTAACCTCGATGATCTTCCAAACCGTTCGAGTTCAATCATTGGATTGTTAACTAAAGGTTCCATGATTTGTAATTCTACATCTTAATTTCAAAAACACACAAAAACACTAACTATACGGCTTTACATAAACAGTTTATTCTCTTGCAAGCTCACAGCTTACACCCCATTTCTTCATACCAATGTTATAAGCTCCGAGTTTTATGTTTTTTGATGACGAACTGTCGGCTCATACGCTTTGAAAAATGCTGAAGTTATCGGTCTCTTTACTTCATCTGAATTCAAAGACGCTGGTAGTGTAGAGCACGTTTTTAAATGTTCATAAGCCTTTCAAGGTCAATTAATTTTTTTTTGACATTTTCTTCAGAGCATTAAAATTTTTTCCATTTTGAAAACAAACACAAATTGATAGCAGCTGTTCGTTTATTTGTAAACGCCCAGTCGATATAAATCCATCAACTACGTAAAGAATACGTGAGAGGAGCAATCACGCATGTTTAAACATTGCTTTATGATCCATTCATTCGTACACCGCAGTGTTTATTAACCAATTGTGAATGATTCTTAATTATTTACAAACAAGAAAGAGAATATAAGCCCTGATTCCTCTAAAAACTTAACTAACTTTTGTGAAAATACATACTAAATACAAAACTAAATTGGAAATGACAACACACCAAAGTACTGCTCTGCGGTGCCGAACATGCCTAAATGGCACGGATAATACTTTCCACTCACTGCAAGGTAAACTTGTAAAGGAAGGATGTGAACGAAGTACCCTGGCTGGGTTCCTTTGGAAAATATGCAAAATGGATGTAGGTATTTTATATAAACATGTATTTAAAATTAATGCCTTTTTAATCTAATAGAATGCATCGGAAAAATCAAAGCGTTTACCACAACAAATATGCAGCAGTTGTTTGCGTAAATTAAAAATTTCATTTTCATTTGTAACGCAAGTTGAGGAGGTTAACAACCAAATGATGGCAAGGCTCGGAATCAGTAAGGACCGAGACGCAGAAATCTCTGTAATTCAGGAATATGATACCGACGATAATGATATGGAAATCGATAGCATTTTTAAAGCAGAAGAAAGTTATATAGATTGCAGTAAATCATTTCAACAATTTCACGAAGGTAGGTGTCAAGAGAAGAAGGAGTCAATATATCATTAATACAATACATTTTTAGATCCTATATCAATATCATCAAAAGCAAGTAAACAAGATGAGACTCGAGTCGAGAACAATTCTGATAAATGTAAAAGGTAATTATATTCGCCCTTAAAATATCTAAAAATGTTCATTCAAATTTTATTATTTTAACAAAAAATTACCATTTCTTCCCTCAGTCCACAGTGCGATTATGTAGAATCTGGTAAGATTAAAATATAGTAGATTTTATTTTTAATGTATTATTATTATTAATTTTACCAAGCAGGAAACGACAAAAATAAACAAATATGTAAAAATGAGTGCCATAGAGGTAAACTTAAAATATTTTACACATTTTATTTTTTGAATGTCAATAAAATGTTTTACATTGAAAAGAAATGAAAGCAATACTTCACAACATGATGAGTCTGCAGAGATTAATGAATGCCAATTTGAAAAACGTGAAAAGAGCAACACAAAAGAAGAAGATCAAAAAGCAACAGGGAACGGAAAGTAGAGAATCAGTGGCAAGTTGGTTTCCAATACTAACAGCCGAAGAGGCTCAAACAGTAGAAGATAAACTAAAGATCGATGGCTATTCAGAGGATTTTGTAAGAGTTAATATGTTAATTAAATATATTTTATTAATACTGCTAATTTAATATTTTTTTTCATCTCGCTGCATAGGTTAGATATTTAAGAAGAAATAAGGATAAGAGCCTTAATGATGCCTTACGTGCAATTTTTGATGATGACCTTATGGAAAATTATAATCTTGATGGGCGTTTGGGAAAGCTGCCTCTCCTTAAACTCAATTCAATCATAAATTGCCTTAGAGGTGAGATACTGGCACATACATACATATACAAAGTTCTTAAATCAAAGCATATTCATTTTCTAGAAGTGTACTCCGACAAAACAAACCTAGATTTTTTTAAAGCGATTCGGAGATATATTTGTCTTTGCCATAATAGATGTACCCAAAAAAGATATACTAATAGGAAAAAACTGCGTGATTGCAGTTTTGAATTCCAAAATTTAGTAAGTACAATCAAAATATATAGTGTGCGTACGAATTTCCTTAAACCGACACATATTTATAGACATACGAAAATTGCGTCGATCCACCGGAAATTGAACCGACCAAAATGCAACATGAAAATGAAATGGCTGGTGAAAAGTAAGTTTTTTTCTTTCAACTAAGAAATTTAAATTATTAGATTTGATTTAATTTTTAAGAATTACAATAAAAATAAACATGTTAATCATAATCATTTTAGGGATGAATCAGATTCTGAAGAAACTCTCAGTTGTGGAAGCATACCAAATCTTTCAGAAAAATCCTTCGATCGTGCTACAAGTTGTTCACCAAAATCTATCGAACAGGAAAACTCCTATACTGCAAAAATAAAAGAAATTCCTTTCTTGTTCCCACTTATCACACAAGATCAATTACTTAAGCTAGAAGAAAATATTTTGGACACCGTTTATTCTAATCAAGTTGTAAGTATAAAACTACGTTTAATATTCGCATGTATAAAAATAAACAAGTTTGTTCTTTTCGTTTTTGGTAGTGTGAGCATTTAAAAGAATTAAAAGCCAAAAGTGGCAATGTCGATGGCGTCATGCGTAAAATTTTTACTGACGAATTAATTACTAAATACAATTTCGATGGACTGCACGGAGGAAATTGTATTCGTGATTTGAATCTAGTTTCAGACTGTCTCCTTAGTAAGTGATGTTATGTTTTTCAAAAGGTTTAGAAATAATTAATCCACTTTCAAAATATTCGTTTTTTTTACAGATGCATTTTCAGATATTTCTAGAGCTGAGTTTTTGACAAATGTGCGTAGTTATATTGCTCTGAGCCATAGCCGAACAGAAAGTCGACGAAAAAGAACAAAAAATAATACTAAGTCCTAAGGGTACACGTGTTTTTATGTTTAGTTTTGTAAACTTTCTTAATGTATATAATAAACACTTCACCTTACCTGCCACCTCCGAATGGAGCCTTTATTTTATGTCATAAAATACACTAGTAGGGGCTGGCATTCACTGCCGAGTTTTGACCCCAAGAAAAATTAGCTTAATTTTTTATTTGAACCCTGGCCTTCGAATGGCAGTATGCAATGCTAACCAATCGGCGTCGCAGCCACATAACTCATAACAGTGTTTTTTTGTTGAAATATGGATTGTTTCTTTTATTATTTAAATCGGAAAACACGCCTCAGTGTACTTACTCCGGATAAGTGAGGCAGCATACGTGTATGTTTTTTCTCTATTACTGCTGCAAGCAGAAAAAACAAACTGTTCAAAAAATGAATTTGTAGTTTTTTCTTTTTATATTTAAAAGGTATGAACTCATACCTTGGTTAATAATTTTAATATATTCCAGTAGTTTGTAATTAGTAATGAGAGAATAACGTTTTTAATTTCAAACTGATAGCGTTAAAAAGATTTAATATAATCGATGTCTGCCTTTATGAGCGATAGTTATCGGTAATCTATAGCTACAATCGCTATTATCGCTATAAATGGATTCGTCATATATGTACAGATATTTTTTTTTATCAATGTCCACATATTTAGTGCTTTGTATAATTAATGGATATAATTCAGTATTTTATCAGAGTGATATTTTGCAGGAATTCCAATAATGGTTTCAATTCAGTGTCGTACTTGCCGAGAGAGGAATGTTGGTAGTTTTCATCCCCTTTCAGATTTTCTAGACGAAGAAAGTAATCCTGGGAAAACGTTTGGTGATTTTCTATGGGATATTGCAAAAATTGATGTAACTTATGCCTAAATTATTACCTTAGCTAGAATTGAAAAGTGTATATTTTGTTCTTTTTCTCCGTAGAATACCACCGATGAAGCCAAACGATTGCCTCAACAGATTTGCGGCGGATGCTCTCGCAAGGTTAAGAACACATATGCATTCGTGGTACAAGCACAGATAGCAAACCAAAAATTCCAAGTCAGTTTGTATAACAAAAAAGTTAGCTTTAATGTTGATAAAGAATCGACCGTAAAACGTGATGATTGTTTATTGGAGACACCTATTGATATACCTGTGCGCCAAACTGAAATCAAAGAAGAGGTGATTGACGAGAAGATAACCGAGACCAGTCAAGAAAACGTAGATAAAAGTGCTGATACAGTAGAAGGTGGAATAAACGAAGTCGTACAGCTTGTTAAAGAGGAAGCAGTTGCAGATTTAAATCAAGATGATGATTACGCCGAAAGCATTAATACAGGTAAATTTTTTTAAATTACAAATACACAACTTGAAATAAAACACTATATGAATGAACTAGAAAACAGCATGGGAATAGATCCTATTACCACTGTGGAAACAATTTGGAACAATGAAGAAATCGAAAATGAAAAGCTGGAAATACAAAGTAATTTGGACACTAGCGATAGGTAGTATTCATTAATATTCTCTCGAATCACTCTTTTAGTTACAAATACATATATGTATGATATCTTATTCGATTTTCAGTGAGAATGATTCAGACACCCCGCTTTTAAAACGTTTTCGATCCCAACCATCTACAGAAACAAACGAATTTACATATTGCGAGGAAGATGGACGATTTCATTGTAATAAATGTGAGAAATCTTTTGCGTGGAGAAAGGATGCCAAGCGCCATATGAAAATACATTCTGATATTTATCCATACGAATGCGCAGAGTGCAATCGTCGCTTCCCTCGAAAGGATAAATATGAAAATCATTTGAGAGTACATTCCAAAAAAGATCGGAGAGAAAAAAATGTTAAAAATAAAAAGCAGCAATTTACAAAAGACACCAGTGATAGCAGTAATAACGGTAAAAAAAACTCTCAAAATAAGAAACCAGCTACTAAAGTTCTTTATTTTTCCAGAGGAGGGCAAGAAGGATGACGGGCCGAGTTTGCAGTCGGAGGCGGTGGATGATGAAATAAGTGACGATGAATGTAGCGACGAAGATGATGTGTAAAACAAACTTACTCTTTCAGAATACCAGGCTGAGCTTTAATATTTTTGTTTTTACTTTCTTTTTGAAACAGTCCGATAAAAAGACGACGAAGACGAACTTCATCTAAAAAGTCAGAATTTACCTATAATAATGATGATAACCGTTATCATTGTAATCGATGCAACAAAGATTTTGCATGGAAGAAAGATGTAGAACGTCACATAAAAAGCCATTACGGTATTTTTCCTTTTGAATGTAGCCAATGCAATCATCGCTTCCAACGAAAGGATAAATTTGCTGAACACTTAAAGTTACATGCAAAACGTGAAACCGGTATACGTCGTAAATTGTCTGTACAACGGGCAGAATGGAATTTTGCAGAACGTCTTTATACTGAACAACGTTTCCGTTCGGTCGAGTGCAAGCTGTGTCCCGAGGCTTTGCCGAGCATAGTGGCTCTACGCCAGCACATGCAAACACATATCGAGGCCGATACAATACATTTAGATGCTGAAAGTGACGTAGTTAAAGAGCTATATCCTAATTTTACTGACGACATTAAACTAGTTAAAGAACTGGTAAGTAAAGACATAAAAGATAAACGCTATGCGAAGTATTACTCAATTTTAAACGCCAACGGCTATGAAATGGCCTTAAGTGACTCTGATACAGAGCAAAGCACAAATGAGCCTAAATACGAATGCGAATTGTGTCATGCGAAGTTTGGGCGGAAGTATCGAATTTTCCAGCATTCAAAATCAGATCATCCTGACATGGAACTTCCCTACAAATGCAATGTTTGTAAATTGGAATTTGTTAGTGCAACAATGTTTGAACTACACTCGCGGACGCAGTGTAGGAACAAGGATAGAAAATATCAATGTCTCAGATGCCCAGGAAAGTTTGTTTGGGTCCAGAATCTTCAGAGTCATACATGCTCCAATCGACTTAGTGTAGCTGCAGCCAAGCGACCTGGGCAGCGTAAACGTGATTTGTTACAGTGTAATTTCTGTGATAAAACTTTTGTTTATGCAACAGACTTTAAACGTCATCAAGAGACTCATAACTTAATGAGCCAGTCTCATGTCTGCTCCATCTGTAGTCAGCCTTTCTTGAAAGCTGAAAATTTGAGACAACATTTGCGGCAGGCACACGAGCAGATCAAACGCCGCATTGAATGTTGCTTATGCGGAGAAAAACCGAAAACACTAGCCGAACTCCGAGCACATTTGTCAAGACATTCGGATGGTTGGACAGATATCAAATACACTGAGGGGCAATATTTTAAGGTACATTGGCCTCAAGGCTGCAAAGGAAAAGAAGGAGAGGTGGAACAGAGTATTATTATAGATTTTGCTGGAAAAAATTTAACTAATTATTATTCAGCGGTTGATGAGAGTGGCAACGAGTTAGACTTAAATGATTCGGAAAGTGATGCAGAAGGCAGCACACCTCAAAGCGGGCAGCTTTTGTCCACCTCTTATACATGCGATTTGTGTGGTGAAGTTTTTTATAGGAGAACTCGTATCCTTCAGCATCAGTACAGTGCACACGCTGATGTGGAAGACACTTTGCCACATAACTGTACTCGCTGCGAAAAACGATTCGTTTGTCTCGGCTTATTAGAACAACACTATAAACGAATTTGTGGCAATATATATAAGCGCCACGATTGCAAACGATGTTCAGCGCGATTTGTTTGGGAAGAAAATCTAAAGCAACACATGCAACGACAACATATTGATCCTGAGCAGCAGATAAGCCGGCAACTGGCCAATAAACTACAATGCGAACAATGTTACAAAGTATTTGTTTGGCCGAAAGATCTAACGCGACACAAACGCATCCATATGCCAGATGATGAAAAGTTCGAGTGTTTGTATTGTGAACGTAAGTTTCATCGCAAAGATCATTTGCACACCCACTTGAAGTCACATGGCGCAGGTGGTAAAATGGCGACTACAACTGCGGCAGCTAGCAAGCGTGAGCTTAATCGTAAAGTTAACGGTAAGTTGTAAGCATGGTTAAATTACTGAAATAATACAATTCTTCTTTTTTCAAAGCTGTCGATCCGTATTTGTGCAGACCGAATGGCTGCAAGTGTGTCCAATGCAAAATTTGTCTGTCGAAGCATACAAAAATAGCCGATTTACGTGCACACATCTTGGAGCACCGAACAGATGTGACTTTATCACAACATGTTACAACAAATTCAGAAATATCTTTACTTTTCTACCCTGATGAGGCACCCATGTCTATGGACTTGCTAATGGCACGGATGATGGCTGATATAGCTGCTGGGCAGCTCGATCGATTTTACTCAATCACCAATGAATTAGGTCATGAGATAAGCATAAGCGGCTCTGATACTGACGACACAGACTCAGAGTCCGAGCCAGACGAAGCTTTATATCAAGCTATCGGTAGCATACGACATCCCCGACGATCCACCTACAAATGCGACTTGTGCAATATACAATTTTCTCGTAAGTACAAACTATTTGCCCATCAAGCTAGCGATCATAAATGGGATGAAGCACCACATGTATGTCAGCATTGCCAAGCGCGATTTCTGTGCGAGAAATTGTTACAGTCTCATTATCGTCATCAGTGCAAAAATTTGCTAAAGCGTTATTTATGTCGCAAATGTCCTCAGCGTTTCATGTGGAAGGAGAACCTTAAAATGCATTTGCGTACAATGCACCCGGATAGTGACGAGGTAAAGAAGGTGGGTTTTTTTTTGAAAATAAGATAAGTTTTTTTTTTTTAATGAAGTAATTTATTTTAATAAATTTATTCGGTTTTTTTTTTTTAGCTTTTTGCACCCAGCTCATTTGACTGTGAAGAGTGTTCGCGTAGTTTTCAAATGCAAAAGGACCTAACTCGTCATATGATGACACATCGCGCCGATGCTACAGTATTCCCATGTCTGTGGTGTCCACGAAAATTTTACCGAAGAAGTAATTTGTATTTGCATATCAAACGCCATGGTATAACATCACACCAGCTAAGCGCTGCCGCTTCTCATATCACAGCATGTAAGGGACCAAATGGGTTAAAACAAATTCATTGTCGCGTATGTAATATACAGTTCGGGAGTTTGTCTGCTCTACGTGTACATCTGAGTCAAGAGACGGCTGGGGTGTTATCCACCCACCACAAATATGGCTCTCAGCAAAATTATTCAATAATGAATGAGTTGGGCTACGAATTGGACATTGATGACTCCGAGACAGATGCAGATGGTAATGGAAGTACGCCACGAAAGGGGTACAAATGCCAAATGTGTGGATTGGTTTGCAAAAGACGCTTTGAAATGGGCCAGCATCAGCTGTCGGTGCACAAGCATGAACACATAACGCTCAAATGTGAAAAATGCGTATTTCGAACAGTGTCTAGTGTGAGTACGAAAAGCCGCAAAATATTTTTTTGGTTCTAAGCTTAAAGCATTTCGTTTGAGCTACACTTTTATTTGGTTTCTAGCGTAGTTATGTAATTTTGGTTTGGTCAAAGGGTACAACTTTTAAATGCATCATCAGCCATCTTATGGCCTGGTCCTTCGAACCGGATATCTGACTATCTGATCTAGACCATAAGATGGTAAATTCCATTTTATCCATTTCATACAATTCCATAAATAAGTAATAGATTGAGGGTTAAAATTAATATTATCGCTAATAACAGGCACTACTACACCAATATCGTTTACGATCTACCACTGATTCTTAATTAGCAAAAACAGAGCGAAATCAATGCAAAATTAACATTATCTACCTTCAATTTACAGGACATTATGGAACATCACTTGCGTACGCAATGCAATAATATCGAAAAGGTACATCAATGCACTCAGTGTTCATATAAATTCATGTGGCCCGAGAATTTGCAGACTCACATAAGGTTGGTGCATCCAGAAGAAAACCAAAAAAGTAGTGATCATGCTGAAGGAGAAGCTTCCGCATCACGCAGTGAGCCAGTACCAGCTCAAATATTCCAATGCGATAAGTGTGATAGTCGTTATAATCGAAAGGATCGGCTTGTTGCTCATATCAAGAAATTTCACCCTGCTGACCCCAGTGACGGTCCTAGTTGCAGCATCAAACTTCCAAGAGCAAAAGTTTCAAGTGATGAGAAAAAACAAGCAAAGGAGAAAAATTTTCTTTGCGCTTTTTGTGGGCGAGCCGTGAGCTCTTCATCAAATCTTGTTGTTCACATGCGTCGTCACACTGGCGAGAAACCATTTCAATGTGAATTCTGCGATAAAGCATTTCCACGATCATCTGATTTGGCATGCCATCGACGTACACATACAGGCGAAAAACCTCATCATTGCACTGTATGTGGCAAGTCCTTTTCGCGTTCATACAAGTTACATACACACATGCGTATACATTCTGGTGAGCGACCGTACAAGTGTTCGTTCTGTGAGAAAACCTTCACACAATCGAACGATCTTGCTCTGCATGTGCGTCGACACACTGGAGAAAGACCGTATGCATGTAATGTGTGCGATGAACGTTTTATTCAAGGCACAGCCTTGAAGAATCATCGGCTAATGCTGGGACACTACGAAGAAGTTGAAGAGCAATCAAGCAGCATGTTGCAGTTGGACGATCAGGGTAACAGTTTAATACTGTTATGAGATCTAAACTAAGAAATAATATAAAAGTAATAGTAGGAAAATAAAAATAATAATGGAAATGGGTATATTTAATATTATGTATACAAATCTTAATTATATTTCTTTAGCCGCACATCTTGATATAATAAAAATAAATACATCTTAAACAAGACATAATTGCATTAATTTTCCATTAATATATTAAACTAATAAATGGGGTTTTGCTCTAACTTCCATAGCAAGCGAACTTGTTACCGGTGCACAACGACCTCGGTACTGATCTGCCATGCGTCAGCACCTCATTACAAAACCCTTATTTAGTTTCAACAGTTTCAATCTCAAAGGGCTTCTTTTGCAGTCCATTCGTTTGGCCTTTCCTCAATAAACATATTTTATTTTAAACTAATTTTATGTTTGTATATAAGTATTTTTTTCGAATATATCATAAGACTCAATAAATATTACAGTTAATATATTCATTAATGAAGCACAATCTTCCCAAACTACGTAGCTTTGTTCTCATTTCCTCCCTCCGGTTACATGGTTATAGAGGGGCATTTAATCCAACCGAAGCCCCTTCTTAACAAGACTTTGTGGCTCATCATTTTACCGACCCTCCCTAATGTAATAACACACATTTCGCCTTTTTACATAATTGAAAATGGTATTATTGTGAATACTTCAAGAAGCAAGAAGAAGAAGAATTGCTCATTCCACTGTCATTCAAGAAAATTTAAAAAACTCGTTATATTTTTCCGATTCACGCATATATTTTAGGATATTTTCATATATTTTTATTTAAGACATTGTGAAAACATATATAAATACTAAAAGTATATGCAATGAGTAACACCGCATACTCGGCTTCGGAAAGCGATGCTTCCGAGTGTCCAGATAATTCATATTGTATATTTTTACATCTAGTAGAAGGTAAGTTTTAAGCATAAAAACCAAGAGGTCGATGTGTAGTAACAAAACTTTCTCTTTCTTTAGGAATTGGTTTGCATCGCCGTGATGGTATTGGAGATTTCACTGAACGTCATAAGGACAAGGTTATCTTAACAGCTACACTGAATGGCGTAAAGTTCGAAGTAGAAGGACACTCTACAGAAACTGTAACTATATTTAATAGCAACTGCATTTGGGAGTGCGAGCTTAGTGATATTAAAAGGTTAAGACTTGTGACATTAAAATACAATTATTAAATATAAATTTTTTTTTTACTCATTGCAGAATGAAAACGGATAATCGACCAGTAAAACTTGAAATATTTATTAAAAGTGGACGAACGGAAACCTCTCCTCGGCGAGGTATAGGCTCTCTTCTGCTGCCAATTAGAGGGGTACCAGTAATCACAGTTTTGAAAAATGTGCAGGTCTGTTACTACGTTTGTTTTTGAGGTAAACCATTTAATTTTTCTATTTACTTAGCTCAAACTTCACTGGCATAAACTGAACGTGCTGAGCTCTGAATGGCGACAAAATAAACCTGAGATTTATTTACTTTTAGTGATTGTTAAAAAGAATCTTATTGACAGTGGTCAATTTGAAGTATATGTGGGAAAGGTATATTGCCGCAAACACTATGATTAAATATTGATAACTGTTATTTTTTTTAATATGCAGAGAAAAGGAATCATAAATGAGACGCTTTCACCAAAATCATCCGAGACATCACTAATGTTACAATCTCAAAGTAATGTATACGTGCAGCTTCTGGAGCAGGTGGGCCTCATACAAGTGGGCAACAATCCAGATGTCGATTGTGACATATTCAATGTGACATTAACTTTTAAACAAGTGAAGAATCTACTGAAAGTATTAGAACTAGAAAAGAATTTTAGTCGGCAAAGTAGTGTGTTTGTTTTTCATTATGACTTTTTGGGAAGCGCTTCCACGCTTGAAATAATCATAAATCAGTCCGATTGCTATACTATTAATGAAAAAATTTCTCTTACTTTTAAATCGTCCCTGAGTAGTTTACGTCTGTATTTCCAACGTATTTTCTATATTCCTATAAGACTCTACTTCAATGGCGCTATTGTGGGTGAGTGTAGTTTGATAATTGAAAAATATGTATTATTTTTTTTTATTAGATTTAACATATTTTATAAGCTTTTATCTTTGTTTTTAAATTCTTTTTTTTTCTTATTCACTTAGCAAATTATCGCTTGGAATTTTCCAAGCTCTTACCAGAAGACTCATTCTTTCATACTAGCAAGACTTTCAGTAAGAGTGATTCTTTCTGTTTCGATCGTTTGAGTAAGATCGTTAGTCCTCGACTGCCGAAACCTTCTGTGGATTATATATTTTGTGTTCAGCTCGTGACTAATAACTCAAAAAAGTCAAATACGCATTTTACACCGCTGACGGGGGCATATTCATCGTATAAGATCGATGAACGAGAATCTGTTGATATTACAGAGTGCTATAGAAATCTGGACTTTCCCAATACATATCAACAAAAGCGCGCACCTTATGATGCTGGACAGTTAAGTAATCGTAATTTTAGTAACTTCGAAATTTATGAACGCAATTTTATGAAAATGCAAACCGATGCTTTTATAATTGGTCGGGTTATAGGGGAAAATACCGAACTTCTTGCTAAATCATCTGATGAGTTCTCCAAAAGTTTAAACCTTAATGTGACTTCTTTAGTGCATCAACAAAATAAAACTAACTTATCTAATTGCTGTGATAGTGAACTGACACGTTCACAGGAAAGTATATCGAATGTTGAGCAATCGAAGACCGGAAACTTACAAAGGGTGATAATGAAACCATCAACTCAGTCGATTGGCGTTAATACAGATCCTTTCGACACTGATCCCGAGGAGTTGACACTGAAAATAGTCCAAGAATTAGAGGAGTGGAAAACGCAACAAATGGAGCATTTCATTAAAGGCCTCGAACAAAAAGAGATTGCATATTTAGCTGAATTGGATAAAGAGTGGGAACAGCAAAGATCCATACTGCAAGCTAGATTGGAAGCAAAAATAGCGGAATGTGAGAGACTAAATGCGAAATTGGAAATGGCACATGCAGATTTAAACGCGAACGCTTTAAAACACCAAGAAACGGTCAGTATCGTGCAGACTGTTAAACAGGACATTGAAAGAAGTTACGCGGAGAAATTTCAACAATTAGATGACGAGATGCAGCGGCTTAGACATGAAATTCAACAGCGAGCTACAGAAAGTGCCGAGCGTGAAATGGAACAAGCACAACGGAAGACCCAAGCAGCGGAGGCTGTTGATTTGGAGTCAGAGGAAAAACAGGAAATGAAGATGCGGATTGAGCAATTGGAAAGGCAATTGTCTGCCATGGAGAAAACTCATTTCTCCGCAGAGCAGCTACAGGGTATGCTAAATGATCTGGTAAGTAATTTTATGGTATTTGAAAGTTTCCGATTACCAGCATGTTTTCTTTTCAATTTATTGCGCAAATTAGCACAAACAAACCGATCGTTTTGCCGATATAGAAAAAGCAAAAGATTTCTATAAGTCACAATGGTCAAAATCTGTTCGGGAATTACATATATTACAAATGAATTTGTTAAAACAACAGGAGAAGGCATTAGAAGATAGGAATGATGAGACCGTTGAGTGAGTATTAGCAATCTCAAGAAATAGCAAATTTAATAATTTAAGATTGGTCTTGAATTGATCGTAATATATGCTTATTATCATTATTTCTATAATAAAAAATTTTAAAAAGAAACACACCGATAATTAGCAGCGCCATTAAATTTCAAATGCATAAAATTACTAATGAATATTGTATAAATTTCTCTGTTTTAGTATATGCTTGGAAGAGATTCTGCAAGAGGAACAAGAAGCTCTACATAGCGACCGTAACGAATTGAAGTATATTAAGGATTTACTTTACGATTCATTAGAGTCGGCAAGGCTCGACGAAACTCGTGCCGAATAGGTTTTGACATTTTAACTGTTACAAGTTACAAAATTGAGCTGTGATATTTGCATGTAGGTAGTTTTGTAATTTTTGTATGTATTGTTATATATTTATATTAAAAGATATATATATATATATATTTATATTATTGATGATATTTTGTATAATGCCAATGTTTTATATTCCAGTCCTATAAATAATACACGTTTTTGCTTAAACTCATATTCAAAGAATTTCGTTATATGAAATGTGCTACGAGTTGGCTTTCAATTCTGTACACGCAAAAAGTGGGGCAAGACGTCGAGTGGCGCCTTGTATGCCATCAACCATTTGGGTCCTTCATGCACTTCATTGGTATTGCCGTCTTTCCATTCCCCTTTGGGTAAATATACATCACGTACAACAGCGCCTTCCTGCACAACTGGTGCAGCAATAATGTCATCGCCGAGTAGGAATTCTATATGTATAAAAAAAAGAAACACAAATTGAAATAAATTTTACCGCGGACATCGTAAAATACATATAAGACCAACTTACGGTCATATACACTTTGTGCAACTTGATCACTGGGATCAACCCACCACAGTGGTGGATTCACAGGTTCACCCGTTTCTGTTGCCAATTTGAAGCGTTTGATTATTTCAGGGGCGAAATCCTCATGCATTTGCACGAATTTTTTACTAATCTCAATTGTTTCATCGTCAAAGTTCCATGGTACGTATGAGAATTGTAAGCTTGGCATGAATACATTTGCTTGTAGCCAACGCAAGAATAATTCCTTCGTCGGTGGTTTGTCGTCATATCCATTGCCACCAATCATATCGGGCAAAACGAATGGATATCCATTCATATTCATTTGCAGCATTGTCGTTATGAGTGTAATTAAACCATTATTCCAACCCCACTCGGAGTCTTTGTCGACAATACGTACAAATATGGGCATATCTTGTGTGTTCTGCGCGGCACGCACCTCTACCAATGGGCCAAAAGCACCTACGGTACGTACATAGTCGCGAGTCATTTGTGTCGGAGAAAGGCTTAAGTCCCCTTGGAGGACTGGATCGTCGGGCATCCAACTGGTTTCGCCTGCATCAAATTTAAAACTGTCAATACCGCCTTCTTCCTGTATTTTCTTCAACCGATCGCTGAACCAAGTGCGCACTTCGGGCTTGGTAAAGTCCACGTAGGCTGCTTCGTTTGTGCCACTGTTCCACCATTGGGTGTCTGGATTGCCATTATGATCCAGGATGAGATAACTACAGAAAGCAATGTATGTATGATGTTTACATTCATAATAGTATGTATATATGTATATATATATGTAGATATGTTTTCAATTAATATTTACCCTTTATTTAGTGCATCGGTATAGGTGGGCTCACAATTTTTATTGATGAATGGATGTATCCATAGCGTCACACGGAAACCTTTAGCTTTCAAGTCATCTGTTAGTTTCTTCATATCGGGAAATTTCGATTGGCGGAATGTCAATGCACCATAACAATCCTCCCAATCATCATCAATTTCTATTTGACTATTTTTAAAACCTTTATTTACAATTTCATCGGCGAAAGCACGTATAACGGACTCGTTGATATCTCTCTTATAAAGTGCCCATGTAGACCAGATGGGTTGTGCTACCATGCGCTCATCAGGATGTTCAACAGGATGGCTTAAGAATTTTTTCACAGCATACATGTGTGCGTCTTTTGCATTGCGCGCAACGCCAACGTGATAAACGAATGTTACTTTCTCTGCTCGTGTGTTAAATGGCAGCGCACTCAAGGCACTGAAGCATAATTTATTTTCATAACCAGGGAAATTCTGCTCAATGAAAAGTGGTGTGGCGTCTTCAACATAATAGAATTCACCTTTGCTATTAAGCCAATAACGCTCAGCCACCCCCATATTTTCGAATTCTTTTGTAACGTACGAGAAGTTTGTCAATGTTTGTTTCTCTACGGGCCAATAGTGATCTTTAAATTCGGGACCACCGTACCAGTGGGTATTCGGTATATCCAGATCAAAACAATCCATTGGTTGCGAACCGGTGGGAACTGTGCGTGATACACGTACATGAACGACATTGTCGTTGTTGGCAATCAGATCGAAGGTAATGGTTGTATCTGGTGTTTTTAAAGCATACGATCCAGAATCCAACAATTCCAGCTTAGCGTCTGAGAAGGCATTTTCCAAGGTAATTGTCTTGAGTATTTTTGAACCTTAAGAAAAATGGTTTATTATTGTTATTTTTCGTTTTCGTAACATTCGAAGTGGAATACAACAAAAAAAAATGTATTTTTAATAAAAGTATATTTACCTTTCATTACTTGATAGTGGAACTGCGTCGAGCGACCTGTACGCAAGTAAACATCACTATTTGGGAACTTAAAACGTTGTTCTACGGATTGGCAAGAGCTCGCTGGGAGTGAATTAAGGCACAATGTGACAAAGGCACTGGCAAAAAGTAATTTGGCGATGCCCATATTGGCTACTATTTTACTACTAGTAGTTATTAATTAAAGTAAATTGCTAGCACTATTAATTAATTATCCAAATTATGGGAAAATGAAAATATTTGTATTTTTTTTTATTGCACAAATGAGTTGATATACCGCTAGTTGCTTGATAGGCAGTTTGTACACGGTGACCAATTTCTCCGATCAAACGCTATTTATACATAAAATACTCATTTGAATTCCCACAATTATCAACAATTGTATAATATTTAGATGGGCAACTTAATATTTGCAATTTGATAAGATATTTTGTCTATAAGTGATTTTAAAGACCTCCATGAACATTATTTTACATCTTATAATAAACAATACTCTTGAGTTGTGAGTTTATCTAGTATGGCGTTCCCTATATTTTTTGGCCGACAATGAGACTGCTTTAACTTTTGGATTCTTTTATCAGCTTTACACTCGTCATTACTGTAGATACACTTAAATATTGTCGATTTTTTGCAGAGTATGCTGATAAAATGGTGTTTATTTTAATTAATTACTGGAGTTTAAATTTTTTTAATAAAATAAAGATTTTACCAATATTTGCTGCATTTATTTAAAATAAATTATTTGTAGGGTAGTATTCGGCCGATAAATTTAATTTGCTTTTAAACACCTACGTATTCACCTAACAACCGCAGCAAAATCGCATTAGATCGTCCAATCCCTCATGCCTATTACGGTTCCTGAGAGATTAAGGGCACAATATATAGATGGTCGTGTTGCACATACGTACATCTATCTATATATCTACAGCATTTGATCTTTTTTGTTTTGTTTCATTAAGTAAAATATATAAATAGTTGTATGGTTATTTGCATATGAGCTTCCTTAAAAAACTTGATAAGAAACTTTACAAATAGTTTTATTTGCTGTGTTTTTTTTTTCTAGACAATCGAACCAAGTGTTCTATCTACCTGCATACATATGTACATATTTACATAAGTATGTACATACGTCAGATTGGGAGTGCTTGAGTATAATGATCAGTGATCGGCGCCCACCAACGTGCTTCAGCTCTTATCATGTACATATCTCAATCATTAGTGAAGTGCTTCCACTCACCTGGAGCCTGATTACAGTGAGGTGGCAGTGGCATGAAGGATGGGAGGGATAGTTGGAAATGTTTTTCTGACATTTTTTATATTATTTCGAGCTGTCTTGAAATTATTATTTTTTCTATTTGGGTTATTTTTCTATTTCGTTCTGCTTGGTTTCCTTTACAGTAATCATTACTTTTTATTATTACTCCTAAAGACAATAGAAATAATTTGTAACGCATGAACATAGCATATGTACATATGAATGCAGTTGAAGGCAAATATAAAAAATAATTTTTGCAAATCATAAAATGCATCCGGTGCACTGAAGTTCAGCATGATTTGCATCAACTTAAATAATGGCTCATCTAAAGGGCTCTGCGGTCATTCGCTACTACGAAAGTGCACAATATAGCTTGAATGCATCCATGAGTGGGAAAAGTAAATAGAAAATAATTTGTATCTGCCAAATAAGTGGCCCGCTTCAAACTCAATTTGATCAGTACTTGTAGTCTAATATGTAAAGTGCGTGTAAACATTTCGTGACGAGTACTTCTGTGCCGTCTCTTCACAGTTTTATCACCACCTTCCGATGTGATTTTCACGTGGGCTATCTTCTGAAGAATTGCCTGTGAATGCGTGTTTTGAAAGTGTAAGACAGCTAAAAATTCAAATTAAGTTGAATGGCAACCTTCAAGATGACGAATGCAGTACATGAGCAGGCGTTGAAATCGTGGAAATAGTGAATGAGATGGAATGAATTAATCGCAATTAGAGAAGTAGCTGTTGGCATATCGCGGGTATCATGTCTTGACATTTTTTCCATTGTATGAAATGCTTCACAGCAGAAACAATACTGTAACGATGCTCCACTCTCCATGTACGCCGAACTTAACTCTGAAATAAATAAAGACCACCTCAAAGATCGAGAATTAAAAAAAAAAAGCAGACATAAATGAAAATCGCGACTTCAATATAGACGAAAAAAAACATTAAAAAATGAAGTTTCTTGTTATTTTTTCAGCATGCCTCGTATATTATGTGTCGAGCTCAGCAAATGGCAATACCTCCATATCAAGTTCAGCTCATACAACATCTAATGCCAGCAGACCATTCACAACGCCTTTGTTTAGGTGTTTGAACAACAAGTAGTGGCCGGTGATTTTTCGAACACTATTTTCTTCAACACACACACACATTTCTCACTCGGGTGATACTTAATGGTAATAAGCAAAATTGTCGCATTTGGGGCCAATAACTCACATACACGTATAATTGAAGAGAGGCCCGTACACTCAAAAAACTTACTGTCTGATGCGGTCTTTGGTTCAGATAACGGCGGGATTGTCGCAGTCGAAATGGAGTGTTATGGGATTCGGATCACCTATTTGTTTATGGCCTGCAATTGGAGAACACGACTTGGACCGTATGTGGTTTCCAGAAGATGGTGCCACATGCCACACACAACACGAGCGAATATATGCGATAAGAAATTTCCCGTCCGCGTAATCCTCTTCTTGGCAATATCAATTGGACACCGTTGTACTCTTTTTGTGGGGCTATGCGGATACACCTTTACCTCTTGAGCCTTTGGAAACCAATATTCCCCAAGTCATGGTCGAGATACCGTCCAAAATGTGCCAAAAAGTGGTCGAAAATCAGCACAAACGGATGGAAGTTTTCAAAATTCGCGAATCGAATGCAATGCCAAGATTCAAGCTTTATAAAAAAAGATAATTTCATGAAAAAAAACTATTTAAATACATCATATTTACGTTAATCTTTGAGATCGTAGAATGTTCTTACATATATATTAATACATACATACATATGTACATTGAAAAATTTATATACGACTGTGCTTGCCTCTGAAAAATTGTTTGATAAAATCCAATTCCTACGAAGCCAATACGAAGGTATAGCCAAAGTTTAGCATTGAAAGTTTTCAAACAAAGTTAAACTTTCTCTGTAAGCTCGTAATCTTAATTGTTGTAGATCGCCTAAAGGCGATTGGTCTCGCGACTCATTAAAAAAGGGCGCACTCGAATAATTTTTCGCTGGGATCAAAGAACCTACACACTTACATATACACGTTTCTCATACGGCTGTTAGAAAGAAAGAGAGAGAGAGATATAGAGAGAGAGAGAGTGAGAGAGATAGAGAGAGAGAGTGAGAGAGAGAGAGAGAGAGTGAGAGAGAGAGAGAGAGAGTGAGAGAGAGAGAGTGAGAGAGATAGAGAGAGAGAGAGGGAGAGACAGAGCAACAACAAGTAACCGAAAATATTTATATGCCGGAGAAATCTGCAATGATGTTTAGAAAACTTCTTGCCGCTTATGTTCGCCTGGTATTTAAGTTCGACGGTAAATAGTCACTTACAACCGACGCTCGTGGATTGCTCGACGACTACTATAATGATTTCTTATATATATGGAATGGCGGTTGATCCATGATTTTGTCAGCCATAGATGTTGGGGTGACGCTTTTTGCAAGAGTTGGCGAATATTTCTGTTTAAGCCCGTAAATGGCTAATCACTGATATTGATAGATTTTCAATAGTTTTTTTTCTTGTTTTAGTTAAAATAAAAGAGTGAAAAATTATGTTGGAAAAGTGTATGAAATAATTACTCTTAAGTTCCTTTAGAAATAAAAATACATTTTATTTGAGTTTCTTTTTACATTAAAATTATTGTAGCTTTTTATTGTAAATGGAATATGCTTTTAGCGTATTTTTTTCATTAATTTTAAAAACTATTCGTAGATTTTTATTTCTTATTTTCTATTTTAGTCATGTCTGTGAAGAACTCGTACGTATTGTGTATAACTTAAAATAAAATAAAAAAATGTATGACCTTAATTTATAAATCATTTTTTTTTAAATATTTTTCTTGGAACTTAATTCCATTGTTTCTATTGCTTATTTATACGAGGTCTGCCAATTAAGGAATGATACTGATTATATTGACCACATTGAAATTCCCTTCCCCTCCTGCCGGCATCCTTCTCCTCTCTATTGATATATTTGCAATCGCTCTAGCTTTTTAGTTCACCGTCGTCACGAAAATTGAAAAACGAAATCAAGAACAAAGCGTCGGGAAAAAATTTATCGTCCCCAAAGAATTTCTTCCACCGGGGCGAACTGTAAATCAAGCCTAATATCGTCAAGTACTCAAAAGATTGAGAAAACGAGTCAACAGGGTGCGCCCAGACATTGCTCGTAACTGTATCCTTCATCACTACAGCGCGCAGTGCCACACCACCATCAGCGAGTCCCAGTATTTGGCCTTTAAAGGGATCACCGTGTTGCAACAACCGCCTTATGCGCCTGATAGGCCATCCTGTGACTTTTTTTGTTCCCTAGAACAAAATCGGTGGTCGACGGAACCCATTTTGAATTCGATTGAGGACATCCAGGCAGCCGTGAACATCCCAGTCGAAGCGTTACAGAAATGTTACGAAGCATGGAAAATGTGCTGGAATCGTTGTATAGCTGTCCTAGGAGACTACTTTGAAGGGTATGGTAGAGTTGTAGAATAATTTTGAAATATACGGTTTTTATGGAATCAGTCTCATTACTTAATTGTCACATCTCGTAGCTCTAAAATTGTAAGTATGTTCAAAAAACAACTGCGGGGTCAAAAACCGATCTTACATTGGAATGAGGTCAAAATCCAATCGGTGCCGTCAAATCTACTCAAGTACATTATTTGATTGCGATTCTAATATGCTGCTTCCTACCGGCTGGTTCCACCCCTGCCACAAATGTTCTACGCTTTAAAAGCTCTTTAACCTAATTTCAGCCCTAATACTTTTAATTTTTTTAATATTATTTTTCTATTTAAAATTTTTTTTTTTCAAAAATGAAGCTATCTTATACGCTATTGTATACATATATATATATTTTAAATAGCAGTTTCGAACTTCATTTTTCTACATTTTGTTCGATTCGTTTGAGTTAGGTAAGATTCAATAAATTTATGAATTCAACAAAGAGACTCTTTCAATTTTGATTTATTAATATTAAACTAAAATTAAATAGTTTCATTTCTAATCTAAATAAGTTAATAAATTTCGAACTGAAATAAATATGTATAAGGCATATATTCTATTATTACATACACGTACATATATCTAATTAAATAGTTTTGTATTTTAGTTGTATTTTGCTCAAAATATTAAATTATGCAATAAAGAAGTATTAAGAATTATTTATTTGTTTTTATTTTTACAAATTTTGTCAATTAACATTAACTAATTTAACTAATTTCATTGCAATAGTTTGTTCGTTCAAAAATTTCCATATTTTTTTTAGGGTTTTTTAGTATACATTTGACATACAGTGTGTCAATTAATTGTTTGCAAAATGAAAAAATCTAAAAAAATATGAGCTACGCGTTGCTCCACTGCATTCAATTAGATTAATGCTTTGGACAGTTCAGTTCCTGTTGATTCAGCGCTTTTAACAATGGCTGGCAAGCGAACTAATCGAAATCTAATTAAATTAGTTTATTTTAACTACCACAATAGGAAATCGGTTAGGGAATTAGCGGAAATTTTCTCCATCAAGCTTAGAACGATTTATAATAATATTAAACGCGCAGAAGAAGAAAACAGGTTGGAATTAAAGCACTCTGTGGGTAGACCACCGAAACTTTCTAGACGCGATCATTCCAAAATTTTGAAGCTGATCCGTGATAATCCTCAAACCACCCTCAGAAAATTGGTGTTAGATATTAACAGGCCTATTTTCACTGTTACCGGTAAAGTAAATTTAGTTACTTTTCTTTAACATCCGAAATTGTTTTTAGTATTCTGGCGATTTGGTTACAATGTTTGGAAAAAATTTGGCAGCACTGTTTTTTCGTCCGTGTCAAATTACATTTGCCAGTTGATAAAAAAATATAAAAAACATTCAAATCGAAATGGAAGACAGTGCACAAAAAAATTAAAAAGTTTATTAAATCATAAATATTTGAACTTAATTATGGAAAATATGCCTGAACAACTAAAAAAAGCTGAATGAAACGTTATCTTAGGGCTATTTTTTAGTCTCGAAAACTTCTTAAAATACGTCTTTTTGCACTTATTTCTTCATCTTCAATGAATTCCAGGCCTAAAATATGCCTACCCATTTTGGTTTTATATTTTTTCTCAAACTTACAACACAAAATCAAAGAGCAGATATTTTTGTTACCTCCTATTTCGCTGGTAACAAAATGTACAGGGTAACAGTGAGCGCAGAATACGAAATGGTAACAAAATTTACTGTATGGTAAATTTGAATACCAAAGTAAATTTTGTTACCTCGACAGAATAGCCCTGTAAAAGTGATTGCTATAAAGCAGTGGCTAATATACAATTGCAGTAAAGTGATTGTCACTCCTGCCCAGAGTCCTGACTTAAGCCCCATAGAACATTTATGAGCTTTTTTGTTTTAAAGAAGCGAGTGGGCAAACGGGGTCCAACTAATAAAAACGCTCTCATTAAGGTCATTCAGGAAGAGTGGAACAAAATACCTGAAAATTATGACTTAAACAACCTTATTCAGTCCATGCCCCGTCGTCTTCGAGCTGCCAAGATGTAAGTGGTCATCATACCAAATATTAGTACCAACGCTGCTATATTTTCCCAGTTTTAATTATATTTGCAATAATTGTTTACAAAATGAAAACAATTAATTGACACCATGAATTTGCTGTATTTTGAATTTTTATATCTTTCTTACTTTTATGTATTGAAATCTGGAATTTGTGGACATTATTTAGGTTAGATTACGCAGACTAATATTATTAAAAAAAAAGAAGAAATTAAAGAAAAAAAAGGTTTTAGTTAATAAAAATCAAGTTGAAAAATTAATTTGTTTAATTTTTTTCATTTTGCACATAATTAGCTGACATACTGTATGTATGTATGTGTACAAAATAAAGGGTGTTTTCTTGTGTTTTCAATGAATTTATTTTTTTTTCTGAGTCGGTCTCTTTTTACATTTGTTCCTTTATTAATACTCAGTTTGGCTTGCCAATTCACTCCAGAATAAACAAAATAATGGTTCGGCTCGCGGGACGCAGAGTCGGTAATTGAAGCAAGCATGGATCGATATTGCATAACATTTGCTCCAGGGGGTAATGCGCATCCTCAAAGAGGGAGAATCGCAGATTACTTGAATGAGCTCATCCGCCATCGACCGCAACAATAGGAGCTGTTCTACGTGTGTGGAAGATTTCGCGGAAAGACCAACAAGTGCGGCGCACTTTAGAGGATGGCCACCAATCACGATCCCTACAGCTCCAATCCCTGCAGAAAGTGGTCGAAAAATGAGCCTCTCGACTGGAATTTATTCGAGTCAGTGGTGACCCTCACTAAATTCTTGGCCCCAACAATAAATTATATGCGTTTTATCTCCTCTTGAAAATCACACGTTTAAAAAAAAACAACCCTTATGTACATTTGTATGCGTATTTTGTTACTTAAGAAATTTTAAAATATTATTAGCAAACGTTAAGAGCATCAAATGTGCATTTAAGTTTGAAATAAAAAAAAATTGCTTACTTAATATTTATTAAAAATTAGCAGCCGTCTTTAAAAATAGCACCTACTCACACAACCATAACTTCAACAACGAATGTAGGCTATAACTAAGAGTACTGCCTTGGATCGAATAGTTCCGCCTCCGACTCGCTCAATTCCACAGCTTCAATTATTGTCGGCTTCAAATTAATTTCGTTTGTCGCATCGTCAGCGGCACTTTCACTCACCAGGCACGGCGATTCCTCATCATCATGATATTCGCGTATTGCCACCGCACCCAGTTCCCCCTCATCCTCATCATCATTGGTCCCTTCTTCAGCAGCATCGCCGTCCTTCAGCAGGGCTACCCGAGAATAGCCGACATTTGGTAGTACGGCAACATTCCTATTGGCTTCGTTGCGTCCAAAGCATGGAAATTGCAAATTGTTACGACGCGCTGCAGAAACCAACACGATAGCGATGATAATTGTGACGGTGGGCACCACGATCAGCATAAGATAAACAATACTCGATTCCTGCATGGGCTCCACACTGTCGATCGTTTGCACTTGGGTGCGATAGAAGGCATTGCGATTATTGCCCGAGCTGCGTTCGGCAAAGAGGTAACAAAATGTTTCATTTGTACGTTTGATTTGGCGCAATTGGCTGCCCGGCGGACAAGTGCTGCATTGTGAGCTAAGCGGTCCGTAGCAGCGCAGGCAGCTAATGTCACACCTCTCACAGCGTCGTAATTGCATCGGTTCCAGTGGCCTACTGGTGTCGGCATACAAGTGCACGGCGTCACGACGACGGTCTATCGATTGCAGCGCATCATCGTCTATTACTTTGGATATCGCGTTATCGTTGAGTGTGGGCGAATCGGGCGCTGTGGTGCTGTCGCTGACGAGGGCGAAGGTGTGCGGCGGACATTCATCATAACAATGGCCATTGTAGTAATATGTGGGCGTGGCACATTCTGTTTTTTGTGGGTAAAAGACAGTGAAGGAGAATATGAAATTAATTCGATATTTTGAAATGAAATATTTATGTATGTGAAGTATGTGAGCATGAATTGTGTGTTTGTGTGTGTTTGTGTGTGTGTGTGAGGTTCTACAAAAGTAAACATTAAAAGCCACCAACAACAAAAAGCAAAACAAATTACAATACAAACACCAATAACAATTGAAGAAAATAATAATAAAACCATTTATGTGAAATTTCCTCGTTCCATTTCCTTGCTCATTAGGTCAAGTAAAAAGTCATCCATCATTTTTGCAATAGTTAGCTTTAGCGATCTGTATCTCGCGTTCCATAAGCGTGATTGGGTTTGACACCAGACAGACGCCAGCAAAGAGAAAATTCGCTATGCTCTACAATATTTTTTCAATAAAAGTGAAAGCGCAAGGCAGGCTTTATCGCCGAGCCCAGCAGCTAAACATGGCACAAAAAGCCGTTGGAAACCACTTGAAAAAGGCTGGCTACAGAGCCTTTTGGGTGCTACATGAGCTAAGAAGAAAAAACCTCATGAACTGAATTTCCATCTGCCGAATCTAGTTTTGGCTAATAGGAAGGGAATTGTACCACATTAGGAAATCGGCAGACCACACACATAGACGATAGCGTGAAGCTATAAGAGTTTCGTTAAAGAAGGTTCTTATGCGACCGGAAGACCTCGCATCAAGTGATTACTATCTGTTCCTGTCTACACGTATGGCGAATGATTTGGATAGTAAAGAATTGGCTTCAGTGGAAGCCTGTGAAAATCGATTGTACTAATAGCCAGACTACCGTTACCGTCAAAATCTTCTCTTGGGAATACAGTTTCAGTTTACTTTCCGGATGAAAACGTAGATCTTCATATTGCATGTGGAGACTTTCTTGACAGATTTTATATGGTGAAAACTCAAGTATAGATTCAAATAATTTTCTACTCAAAAATTTTTAATAATATACACATAGACTAAAACAAAAACATACATACATACATACATACATATGTACAGTAATAAAATATCATATATAATATATATATAGAAGCACAACAATAAAACTTGAAATAATGCAGATTACAATACAAAAGAAAGAGAATGTGGTTAAAGTGAAACTGACAGCCGCAATAACGGGGCATTGGCGCTTTGAGGAGCAAATGATAAAATGAGCCCGTCCAACAGCTGCGAGCTGAACTTTGCGAATGCCCAGCAGTGTTCCACATAGAACACTTAAAAGCCATCAATGATTGCAGGCTATTATGATGTCTTGCGATTATTTTATTAAAATGGCACTTCTGGCGGTCCTACCTTCCAACGGCCGATTGTGGCTATAGCCGAATCAACAACAGCGCTGCATTCCTGCCTTCTGTTCGCTTTTGGAGCCAATTGGAAAAAAAGAAAAAAAGTGCAGCCAGATTCTTCTCCACCTCATCTTTCCAAACTTTCAAGGCTGGAATATTCTTATCTATCCGGACAACATAATTTAAGTTCTTCTGGCGAATACTCTTAAAGTCAACTCAGCAGACGATGTCACCTTTCATGCTGCGGCACCATATAGCAGGACGGGAATAATGAGCAACTTTATCAAGTCTGGAGAAAGGAGAACACACGGCGCGGCGTACCCAAGCAGCTGTACACTCTTACAGAAGATTGTAGCTTTCCTATTCAGCTCTGCAGCCCGTTATTTTCTTCAGCATCAAATTAAAGTAGTCACACGATAAGGAATCACCTTGTCTGAAACCTCCTCCCGATTCTGACGTAGTTTGTAATGTTGATTAACGCCACTTTACGTAGCGATATAAGTTTTGTGGGGATAACAAAGACAGTCATAAATTCCTGCTGTCGACGGCAGGCTTAAAATTGGTAATTAAGTGCGCAACATATCTCTTCCCACAGGTATTTTCCAAGATTTAACGCGGGGTTAATATTTGCTCAATTGTAGATGCTACACGTGCAATCAGTTTGTTGACGGCCGAAGTGCGCCGAACACACACTGAAACACTCACAGATCCGCTTGGATCACTCACCAGCTCTATCAATTTTGGAGGTCCACAACGCTGAGTCGATTCCCGACACCACAGCGGAATGGTCAATCTGCACCATCTCCAACCAACGAAGAAAGGGTCTTTGCGCACCACCTCCACTTTTCCAACCTAAGCTCCACATAATACTTTCACAAGATTAAAAGCGGAATGGTCATACCGTACCACCTTTATTTTTCCCATGGTGTTTATGCCCGAGCTCCTTCAAAGGTATTATTTAACATCATTCTGCCCTCCACCGAGACATGCCCCCTTTCCTACCCTGCCAAGCTTCGACACTCGGCTATAAATTTTACAAAATGAGATTTTAAATTCGCGTTAATACGAATAATATGCAAATCACATGCATTAATTTGGATTAGTACATAGAAAAGTATCACAAAATCAAATCTACACATACAACTACAACAATACAATGGATATTAGATAATAAAGAGTTATGTGTGTATGTATATGTGCGTGTTGCATGCTGTCAATGAAATTGCCTTTATATTTATCTACACTGTTATTCAATACGCTTTACGGAGCGAAGCTTAAAGCAAAAACAACCAGCAAACCAAAAACCTTTTCAAGCAATAAAGCCCACCGCAACAGTTTAACAAAGCCCCCAAACATGAATTATGGATGGAAATTAAATTCGAATTGAATGGAGATTATGAAAAAAAAACATGATGCATATTTTTGTGTTAATAACATAGAATTTAGGCCAGAATTTAACAAGTGAGCGCATTAATTGATTTTGTTGCAATTCGTTGTTGTTGTTCTTGTTGTAATTGAAATGTCACATGTCAACGGCGCATGTATGCATGTGTGAATGACATGTGAGTGCGTGAGTGCGCTATTGTTGTTGCTTTTCCTCTGCTTCTTTGTTATTAATGAATTAATATGTAGCACAAATGTTTATATGTATAATTTTTACATTACGAGTATAATAAATAAAATAAAATAAATAAGCTTCATGAAAACTAATTACTTTTTTGCAAATAAAATTTATTATTAATTATATTTATTATGGTTTATTTTAATTAGTGCTGCTGTTCATGAGGGCGCAATTGTTAATTGAAATCAAAAAAAAAGAACAAAAAAAAAACAACAAAAAAAAAGAACGACAATACAAAGTTAAGAGAAAAAGCTGATATTTATGTATGTAAGTATGTGTTTACACTGGATAAAAAGAAATATTGAAGTGAACTCACCTTTCAACTAATTTCTATATGATTTATTGTAGTTTTGTTTCGTATTTGTTTTTGTTTAATTAATTTTTTGATTAAGCAATACTTGTATTGCAGCTTTTAGTACATAACAGTATTTATTATATTTGGAGTGAATACAGTTGAATTAGATTTCAAATTATTATTACCATCGTATGTAATATCCTTTCAGCATTTGTAGGCTTCTGTAGCGGAGAATTATGCTAACTTAATTTAATATTATTTTATGTTTAAACAAAACAAAAACATTTATTTTTGATAGTCAAGTCTCGCGCACTGTTAATACGACGAAGTTGGTTCGGTGACGTCAACGGCTGTCGTAACTTTCGCAGCAATTGGAGCTTTGCCCATCCACATTGTGCAAGATTTTGCGAAAGAATCTTGGTTTGTGAGCTTACCAAATCCGATTAGTGCAAGAATTGAAGCCGAACGATCATAGAGTGAATGTTCGCAAGACGAGATGTCCACCAATTCCGGTTTGCGCAAGAAAATTTTTGTCAGCGATGAGGCTAACATCTACATCTGGTTGAATGGGTGCGTTAATAAACTCTAAGGGTAGAGCAAATCATTGGTCCATATCTCTTCAAAATTGAAGCCAGCTATAAATTAACAGTTAATGACTTTTTCGTGCCTGAGTTGAAGCATGTTGACGGGGACGAGTTTTAATTCCAACAAGACAGCGCTACATGCCATACAGCCAACGAAACAATCAAATTATTGAAGAAAATTGTGGCGTGACCTACAAATTCGTGCGATTTAAAGCCTATTCTTTGAGCTGTGACGCAAGGCCGCTTGTCTACGTAGATAAGCCGGAGACGATTGACGCCCTGGTAGAGCATATTCGGCGCTGCAAAAAGTGGTTTCGAATCGGGTCTCTCGACGGGAATTTACTCGAGTCGGCCGCGAGGGTAATTTCTTTGAAACAATTTTTTGAAACACAATCGCAAACCCTTATCTTTGTTGTAAAACTAGACACTTGGGCCTAATAATGATCTGTTTTTTTTTTACATTAAACTATATGCGTTACATAAAACTACATTTATAAAGAAATACCGTTTACATATTGTCATGGAATTTAAAAACAAATTGCTCAAAAATGTGTAAAAATTACTAAAAAAAAGTTAATACAGTTAAAAGTTTTCGTTGGATCTACATGCCACTCAGCTGAGCGCATAGTGGCTTGGGAGAGCAAAGAAGTTGAAAAGAAAGTCCAAACGGCATCTGGCAGTAGTTCAGCAGAGCACAGGTCGCCTGTAGGTCGATCAATTATCATCTACTCTATTCAACTAAATATCTCTCTATCTGCTCTTCAATCTACATATCGTAAATTATACAGCCAAGAGCGCAGCTACATCTCCTCAAAGTCTTCCATGAAATAAAAAACAGGCGTTTTGTGAAAACATAGTTTATTTTTCGCATTGTTCTCGCTTCTTTTTGAATTTTCTTTTTTTGCTTTTGCCGTTTTCTGTTTTCTATGCAATTATTTATAATATTTTTAGTTTCATTTTTTATTTTTTATTCATTAATTACTCAATTATGTACTTTATCAATAACTTAAGACTGTCGCTACTGCACATTGCTCACATTATTAGTTACGAAATTTAATTTTTTTTTTACTCACAATTTTTTTTTTTTTGCTTTATTTATTTACACGCAATACATACATTTACTTCAATTTTAAGTTTAAAATATTTTTTTGTTTCCATTTCAATCTCATTTTAATTAAATTAAATT